GACGTTTAAAGGCAAAGCCTGATGGGGACATGTGTTCAAGGATTTTAAAGCCGTGTAGGACACGTTTTTATATTTGAGGAGAAATTATATTCTCGAGTATGTAAGATATCAAGAAATATAGAATTAGCGCTTCAAATTGTGAGGGGCTTATTTTGTATACTTATTAAATTATGTATATGTAAAATATGTAACACAAGAATTTTATTTACGCGCCCCCAGTAGATTATAAATCTGTTTAACATAATATGGCTTAAGATAAATCGTTGATATTTGACATACCCAAAATTTAGCATATCATTTATATGCCCTTAAATGTTGGCCAGGTGCGGACAATAAATAATTTGAAATAAAAGTCAGGTTAACTAATATTAATAGAGCAAAGGAAAGCAGAACTGCAGAGCTGAGTACAATTGAGAAAGTCTGTCCAAATTTATTATGTAAGTTGTAATTGGCATGTTTATGGAACACAGCTGGGATTTATCTAGTCTGCGCACAAAAAGTTAAACGAATAGTTTGATGTGAAATAATGGACTCAATGACATGCAAGAGAAGTACGCATACAATTTGGACAGACTGTATTCAATTCTGTTGTATTCAAATATTATAAACTATTACAATATAAACAAACACTTAAACACACTATTGACAAATTTTGAAAATATAAATACCTATATACTCATATCTTGTTTAAACATACTTATTTAATTAATGGTTTAAATTACTTTTGTAAACATGAAATGCCAACATAATTAATTAAAGTTGTTGCAAAACTAAAGCACTTTAAAATAAGCATATTTTGCAGCTTGGTTTTGTAGAACTTTTGATTAAAAATTAAGTTAATTTCACCTTGAATTATTGCGACTAGTCTCGCAGTTAAGCACGACTTCTGGCCAGCATATCTAAAGCACGTAATTGTTAGTACACAGCTACACACATTTGATGACCTGTAAATCTGTGTTTTATGTACACGTTAAGCCAAGGTCTTCAGCAGCATTAGCTGGCCGCAAGAAGAAAAGTTCGGGCACGGCTGGGGCTGAGTGGTAATGACCCATTTGCCTATGCTGGCAGACGCATTTTGGAGCTGGTCAAAATGTTTATGGCCAAATGCATAATTAAGAAGCTATTACAGGCAGTAAGTACTCGTAGCTGGCTTATTATACGGCAGGTAAATAAGGAACGATACGCGCCGAGCACAAATGCGGCCCAAATGAGTTGACAAAAACGACAATAAATTATTAACGTAAGCGAGACGTTCGCAATTAAACGTGCTGCAGCAAAATGCATGAATGAATTTAACGAATTTAACCTTTCTATGGGCCACAACTGGAGGCATAAATAATTTAATTATGAGTGTGCTCCTTGGCCAACAAGTGGCCACAAAGATAGCTGGCAAATTGTGGCCATCACAGCTATCGATGTGTGTCTGTGCTCGTCTAGCAGGCCAGCTACTATTCAGAGCTCTTCAGAGATTGGGTAGATTGCCGTGCTCAAGCTCAAGCTCAGGCATAAGCATAGTCAAGGTATTCCGGTGCATTTATTGCAATTAAATATTTGTTAATGCCAAAGCTGTTGTTGGCCACAATGAAAAAACAACACCACATCCAACAAGAAGCTGGCGGTTGACTAAAATTGCCATTATATATATATATGTGTGTGCGTGTGTGTGTGTGTGTGAGTATTTGCTGCAAGATTAATACTTGGTATTGCACTATGAATCAACGGTTCGTTTAGAATTCAATGGCGACCACCAAAGGCCCCAAATAAACGCCATGCGCTAACCTTGTCAGTGGCAGCAGCTACTTGCAACGACTCCGACTGCGACTGCAACGTCGACTGCAACGGCGACTGCGACTGCGACAGCAGCTGCTGCGGTTCGTCGAGTGGTTTTCCTTGTGTTTGATTTTTCAATTTTTCAGCACAAAAGGCGGCCTGGCCAGGCGTAGTGCACGAGCACGGCCGAACACGTATATAATTAAAGTGCCAAGAACTGGCGAAGCAAAATTTTTGCAATTGCCAGATACAATTGTATCTGGGTACAGTGTGCATGCAAAGCGGCAAATTGCCAAATGGCCAAACGGCAAATGTTTTGGCTTTTGATTTAAACGTTAGCGCAATATTCGCACATTTATCGATTACAAATCAATTTTATACAATGGCGCATCTCACGTAGCGGGGGCTGCTTGGCGGCGACCTCGACTTGGACTATGCTGGCGTTGCCCAAGCAGCTGGCATGGGGGCTGTGAGACTGTGGGACTGGGGGCTGGGGGCTGGGGGGCTGGTGCTGCCAACTGTGTGCAACGCATTGCTGCCGGATTACACGATTAACGCCACTTGCATACAAATTGGCGCATTTCAGCACAGCGCTGAGGTGTGTTACCTGAGCTATCCGTAAGATACAGATACGCGACTGCACTCGTTAGCGTAGTTAGTAGTGTCTGTGTCTGTGCATGCGTGTATGTGTGTTTGTTTTTGCTGCTGCTGCTGCTGCTGTTGCTGTTACTGAATCTGAATCTGAATCTGAGTCTCAGTCTGGGCATTGTGCGGCCATTTGCTTTCCTTTAGTGTACGGCTCAGCTCGCAGCTCGCAAATGGCATAAACAACAGCAGCGGCTACAAACGAGCCAAACAAATTGAATGCTGCAAAAAGTGCACAAGGTGCGAAATATAAATTACACCTCGATAAAATTGCATGCAAATTTCGTTCCTTTTTTTTTTTTTCTTTTCAACCCCAACCGCCCTTTGGCACTGCCAATGCCAACCGTAAATACATGCAACATATGTGTGCCTGCATGGGCTTAGTTTAATGCGCCAAGAAGACTTTCAGCTTTGAGCTGTCAGCCGCAGCTTCCTGCAATCCTCATCAGTATGACTGGCCAGCTACCCATCGAATCCCGACGTGACGACAGCATAAGTAAGCAGCGCATTCGCGGGATTTGTCAAATATTTGCGCTACGCTGCGCTCATTCATAAAAAAAGACCTTCGACTAAAGCCTTGGCTCCAACTTCAGTCTAAGGCGCCGCAGCCTTAACACCAGCCACAACCTTAGCTTGTCAGTCTATGTCTCTCTCCTGCACTTGCTGCGCTCTCTCTCTCTCTCTCTGTCTATCTCTCTCTGTCTCACGCTCTTGCTCTGTGTGTCTCGTAGCTTATGCAGTTTCTTTCGCCTTTTGCGAGGAAAAACAAACTTATTCAGACCCCGGGTAAAGTTCGGCAAGTTTAATGCTGTTTGACTTTGATTCAATATTTGCATCGATTAAGTTTTTCAAGGTTTTACTTAGCTGAAAATCAAAATGGTACACACACACACACACACACACCCAAACACGCACACACACTCACATGTATATATATTTGATAGTTTCACGTGCGACAGCGCAAAATATTAGCATGGTTGAATTAATCACAAGTGAACGGCAACTGCACAAATACTTATACAAATATTTCGTTTTAGGAATGCAGTCTTTAATAGATATTGTAGACCTAGTCATATTAATTTAATACTTAATGAACAACAGTGTTTTTTTTTGTGCTGTTGAGCAACAAAATAATCAAGGTTAAATTAATAAAAAAAAATATTATTAATAAAAAACTTAATTTTTGAACACTAAATTTTTTTAACGAATAATTAAAAAGCTTGAACATTTTTAAAAAGCGTAATAAAATCCAATCTCAAGGATCGGTAATTATATTATAGCCTACGACAGTTTTAATTCATTTCTAACATCTATGTGGACTATAAAATATAAATAGGCAAAAGAATCAAGCTTGGCGTAAGAACAAAAGGCATATAAAATAATTAACTAGTACAAAGCAAGAAAATGAAAAAACCAAAAAAAAAGTATATGTTGCTAAAATTCAGAAAAAATAACTAACATCAAAAGTTCAAATAAAACATTGCTTTAAGTAAGCATTCAGATCTTTGTAGCCAAGAACTAGTTCGCATAATTAGAGGAAAACAATTATTGTGTCTCATGCCAATGCAAATTGTATGTATTCGAGAAATGTTTGGAATATGTGATATGATGAGAGTTACGACACGTGCCCTGACTTTACTTCTCTAGTAAATATAGAAAATGCACAGCCAATATAAATCACATGTCGCACCTTACGGATTGCCAAAGGTGTACTTAAATATTTATATGGCAGTTAAGAGCTGCCAAACAGAATACGCCAGATAAGATACTTATTATGGCAAGTGTATTCAAAGTGATCTTGTCTATCAGATTTTGTTGATTAGATGTCGTGTATTAGTCAACAAAGTAGACTGCATATTCTTTATTCCCTTTTTTATTTAAAACAAAGCAAGGCTGTTGCAGTTGGGTGCATCCAACTGCGCAATACTCTGTTTACAGTGCTATCAGAGTCTAAGTCAGTTAGAGAATAGAGAACACTTTGTTTCTGGGTTGATAGCTCGAAGAATGCAAACCTTAACCAAAGACTTTTAAGGATTTTTACCACGAACCTTACAGAGTTCATCAGTATTCTATCAGTTTAATTTGTTGTCTCTGGCGCCTAGACTTTGGGTCTTTTCGCATTTTGCAGCTTTATATGGCAGACAAAAATGTATATTTCAAGCTTGACTGAGAGAAATGTCGTTTTTACAACAAAAATTGCTCAAAACCAATATGCCCGCATACACTTTGTGAGCAGAGCATAAAAATAATAATTGTTCAACGTGTCGTATGCGCAATTTTTGAACAAAAATTACTTTTAAATGCCACATATTGGCTTATTACACATTTTTCTTAAAGTCCAAATAGTTTTGAAGAGCGAAAAATATAGATTTCATTTGAATTTTAAAAGACGTTTAAATATTACATTATTTGTGTGTCAAAAAATTTGAATTCAAAATTTTATGGCACCATTTTTTGAAACACTTTGTAAATACCAGAAACTTGTTTAAGTTTTTTTTTTAATTTAGATAATACCACACACCACACGAAATATCATGAATCATACAACTCTTTAAAATTGAATGGAAATACACAAGTTGGCTTACTCAGTAGCGCGAATTCCACGAATCCAACGTTTAAGCTGTGCGATGGATCTATAAATTTTGATCTAGCCAAATAAATTGTTTTCAAATCAAAGATCGCCGATCAAAGTTGCCTGTATGCTGGTTTGTGTGTGTGCATGTGTGTGTGTATCCAAATAGTGTTCGCTGCAATTGGCTGCGCACTTTCGAAATTTTCACGCTTTTCACGCAGCGCACGCCGACGTTGCACAATTGAGCTGGCCAGTGGCAAAAAAAATCCAAATTCCTGAACGGCAACCAACTCCGACTGGCGGCAAATGTAATTCAGGAAAAACGACTTGGCTATGTTTTTCGCGTTTAGCCCCGAAACCGAGCTTATTTTCCAGCGAATTGAACGCGTTCCAGAACCGCGCTGCCAGGCAGACGAAAACCGACTCAGCTCGACTGCGGCTTGCAAAAACGACAACACCTGACAGCGGCCCAAACGGAGGCCTGAACGCGGCTTGGCTATTGAAACGGCCGCAGTCGCTCACGCAGTCGCCGTCTCAGTCGCGGTCGCGGTCGCGGTCGCGGTCGCGGTCGCAGTCGCGGTTGCTGCGCTTGCCTAAGACATGCGGCGGCGACTGCCGCGCCAGCATTGTAGGCGGCCAAGCAGAGTCAAGCCAAGCTTTGGGGTAGCAAGCGCATGCCGCTGTCGCCGTCGCCGTCGCAGTCGCAGTCGCAGTCGGCGTCGCCGTTGCGGTCGCACTGTTACAGACAAAAGTCAAATTGAGTGGCGCTGTCGATAGGCAGAGCAGCGAGAGTCGCCAAACGAAACGGTTAATTAATTACCTAAGCTAGCTGCATCGTCTGTTATTCGGCACTTGGCTTGAGGTATATTTTCTCAAGCGTGAACTAAACGTGTTTTGTTTTTCTCCAGCTCGGCTTATCCGCGTGCGGGGAAAAGGCCAAGTTGAGCCTGTGGCGCGATTGAATCATCGCCGTCCACTGTCCAGTTCACATCCGTCAGTTGATCCTAATTGGTATGCCTGCATTGTGCGCCCGAGACGTCGTTTGGCGTTGTTCGTCCATAAATTTAGCAGCTCAGTAATTTTCCTTTCTTTTTTTTTTTTGTTCGTTTATTTTCTTGCCAATCTCTAGACGGTCAAGCGTATATTCTACAGTACACTCACTCTTGGAGCTTTAATCGCGACGCAGCCATCAATCACGTAATTGCCAGCGTGTTTGTTGCGACGTTTGCATCTGTATCTTGCTTTTGTATCTTTTCACACAACAAAAGGCTGAAATCTATTAACTGAAATACATATGTACAATATGTACATAAGCAAACAAAAGACGCATTAATTCAGTTTGTGCATATTTCTGCTTGTTGTGCTTTAATGATGTCTGTGAAAAAATATATATACACATATGCATTTGTTCTATGTAATATGTTTGCTTAGAACAATATTTTTTTGTACTTACAAAATGGCAGTATTCATTTGTAGAAACAAAAATAATTGCTCATAAGTCAGCTGCTTACAAATAACGATCTGGAACAGAATGTCGCTCGCACCAGTAGATCCTGCATTAGGAGCCAATCATTCCATTAATGTCAAATTGATAGATTTGATAGTTGCGAGCATCAGCTCTATTCATAATAAGCATAGCCCTCTGCGAGAGCAGCACAAATTTCAATTGATAACTTTGCGAAACTAAAACACTTTACAATAAAAGTTTAAAGGATGTGTGCTCAATATTTATTATATATATTACACGTTAGCAAATTATTATTACCCCGCGAGATCTGTTATCGTCTGTTGTTGTTAACGCACTTAAAGCTGATTAAGAGTTACAAATACCCAAATTAAATAAAAAGCTAAATTAACTAAATTTGGGTTCAACAAACTCGTCGTCAGGGAACAGAGTATAGCGCAGTCAATAGCCTAAGCTCACAGCGCTCTTATCTGTATTTATTGCCAAAAGCACTTTATTATTTAACATAACAAAAATAATTGTAGTTTCAATAACAATATATAAATAAACATAATCTTAAATTAATTTGAAAATAATGTATTAGCTTTGCGGCCAATTAAAGGTTTTAGCATGCGAATGCTGAACTATTTCTGTGATTGCTGAAGCTGAAGCATGTTTGGTGCTCTGCATTTAAGTAGCTTCATTTGGATACGCATCGCCACCCAAGTTGGCTCTTGAGTTGAGTACACTTGCCTGTTGCCTGCAATTATGATGAATAATATTATATCTTTTCGGCAAGTCATGGTGTCTTTGGAATACCAAGACCTGGGCCTAGCCCAGGCGGCCGAATGTGTAAAACGTAAACAAACAAACATCGAGTATCATATAAAAGTCAAAGTCTGAATTAGCAAAATTTCGCAGAGGTAATTGCTATTGCGGATTTGGAGGCAAATAGTCTGCTTGTCACTGCATAGTTATCGCCGCCTCTAAATGGTGGGGGGATGGCCGGGGAGGTTATGGTTCAATTGTGCGGAACCCTCGATATGCCACAGGCGTGATTTAACATCGACGCTTGTGTCAAGCTCTCTGATTTATTTTATGACTCAACACATCAGCCGCGCGGCGTACGACTTTAATTCCCTCCATATAAAAATACCTGTCATGATAGAACGCAAAAATTACCCGCACTTGGCCAAAGCGTTCACATACACACACACACGCACACACACTGCGAAAAATCCATTGAAATTCCGGACGGGTTCAGCATCGGCCACAGCTACAAATCGCGTAAACAACTCGACTGCATTTCGTGGCATCGCCATCTTTCACCAGGCGCTCAGAGCCAGGCTAAGCCCCGAAACGCTGCTGTATGCCTGTGTCCATGATTGTGTCCGTGCGTGTGTGTGTGTATCTGTGTGTGTGTGTGTCCGTGTGTTTGCCTATGCTTGTGGGGTGGCAGCCACCAATAAAGTCCCAAACGCGATTTTTCTAAATGCATTCGAGTGTTTTATTTATTGAGCTGCTTCAGGTAGTGTGCGTGTGTACGACTCTCACACACACACACACGCGCTCGAGAGGCCCGAAGCAGGTGTAAATATCGTAATAACTATTCATTTTAGCTGGTAAACAAATGTGCTTGAAGTGCAGTTAAGCGTTCGCAAGATGGTTACCATCAATTAAATTAAAGTTAAATATATAACAAATGTAAATTTTTGAATATTTACAAACTAATCAATCTTATCCCTAAACAATAAATACAAAAGATAATATATTTTTCAAAAATTTTTCGGGTCAGCTCGGATTCCAATCCTTCCAATGAAAAGTTTAAGAGCATAACAGCTTGTGTGATTAAATAAATGATGGTTTAAAGTTTATATTCATTTTCTTGCATATTTCGTAAGCCTTAAAAAAATGTGTTTATTTTGTTAGTTTTTAGCTAATTCAAAGTGAAATGGGTAAACATTGTGCTTATACTTGATTGCGCAAATTGCTACTTTATTGCATATTTGCGTTGCAATTTAACTGGAATATAGCTATAATCTGTTCGCATAAACGCAAAAGAGTATATTGGTTGCAAGCCCATCATGTCTTTCACTGTCTTAGAGCATAAGTCAACAATCAATATTGACATGTAAAGCGTGAATGATCTCCCATGAGAATCGCCCAGCTGTCACCACAAAAATTCGCAAAAATCAATAATTTCTGGTCATAGTTTAAAACTCATTCCCCACGTTTATTTGCTCTTAATATATCCAGGCTCTAGTCGAGAGCTCCCGACAAGGGGATACCCTCTTCTTCCAACATCAAATGCATATATATATTCTATTTTAGAAGCTATATGTCAAGTTTGGTGACTCTAGCTCTTATTATTTACCAAAATTGCCCAAAAAACATTATATCGATATCGATTTTTATCGATTGCTTGGAAACGGAGTAAGTTATCGATTATCGGAAGCAAACTCGATCTGCGCAGGCACTAGGAGGACCTACATCTAAAATTTCAAGTCTCTAGCTCTTATAGTTTCTGAGATGCTTGCGTTCATACATACGGACGGACAGACGAACTTGGCTAGATCGACTCCGCTATTGATGCTGATCAAGAATATATATACTTTATGGGGTCGGGCACAAATACAATATACCCTTATACCCATTTTTGATGGGTTCAGGGTATAATCATCGAAAAAGTTTCGATTTTCGCACCGACCTCTATTTTGAAAAAAAGCGTGATGTAACCCCTTGTCATTTTGTCGATTTGGGTCAAAATTTTGGATTTCCTTTTTTTGATGCCAATCGATAGAACTGATCCTTACGAGTCAAAAATGGTATGAAATTGCACAATTGGACATTATTTGATGGAAATATTCCAAAAAATCATCAAAAAGATTGAATTTACGAAAGAATCGGTTTTTTGTCAACAACATTTTTCAACCCATCGATGATAAATTTGTTTGAATGCCAATTGATGGTAGGAATCCGTACGCATTCAAAAAGGTATAATATTTTCTAATCAGACATTATTTACCCGGGATATTAAAAAAAAATCATCGAAAAAGTTTCGATTTTCGCACGGACCTCGATTTTGAAAAAATAACGTGATGATTTGGAACATCATAACTCCGCACGGAGTTTTGTCGTTTTGGAACGTCATATCTCCGCGCGGAGTTATGTCGTTTGTGAACGTCATATCTCCGCCTGGAGTTATGTCGTTTTGGAACATCATAACTCCGCGCGGAGTTTTGTTGTTTTGGAACGTCATATCTCCGAGCGGAGTTATGTCGCTTTGGAACGTCATATTTCCGCGCGGAGTTATGTCGTTTGTGAACGTCATATCTCCGCCTGGAGTTATGTCGTTTTGGAGCGTCATATCTCCACGCGGAGTTATGTCGTTTTGGAATGTCATATCTCCGCGCGGAGTTATGTCGTTTTGGAACGGCAGATCTCCGCGCGGAGTTATGTCGTTTTGGAATGTCATATCTCTGCGCGGAGCTATGTCGTTTTGGAACGTCATATCTATATATAATAAAAATGGATATAATTGCTTGAAGACCACAATACATAAATTTTTGGAATATTAGCTAGATTCAAAGGCGATTGTTACCAATGAATCCATCTCAATTGAATGGCATCAATAGTGGCTTTTTATATATTCTTTCTTCGGCGTTGTTTATTTTTTCAAGCTTACAATTTCATCCGCATTTGAGACACGCACACAAACAAAATTCTTTGTTTTCAATTTCACAATTGCAATACGAAATTGTATGCCCTGAAACCATTGAAAAGGAGTTCAAGTGGGCTAAGATGCAATTGTGCAAATGTATTTAACAGGTAGAAGGTAACATCTACGATTCCATGCAGTACAGTATATATTATTGATCAGGACGTTAGGCGGAGTCGATTTAGTTATGTCCCTTCGTCAAATTCGGGCTTATGCGGAACGTCAATGATTTCTTATTTATTACATGCGTCTATTGAAGGTGGGCATAAGGATAAAATAGATCCTTTTATGCCATGCGCAGATCAGGTTCATTGAAAAGTATCAATAGAAATACCAAGGCAGAGGGCTCCCCACGTAGGACACCCCCGACTAGAATGCTCTTACTTATGTTGAATATTTTGAAAACGTTAACAAATAAAAAGAAAAAACTCAAAACAACTAGTAACTAGTACTAGTATTTAGACCGATGTTGATTAGATTTCGCTCACATATTACAAGGATTGATCAAGACGCCATATGATATAGTGATCCGATATGGCCCATTCAAAAATAGTTAGAGTACGCAACAAAAGGATTCCTGTTGATAGGAAAGACTAGTTTGACTTGGCTATATCGATTAAGCTGTTGATACTGATCAAGAATATATGTATATATTTTATGGGGGCGGAAATGTCTTCTTCTATACACAGTTTATGGCACAGCTCAAAATATTTCTCAAACAAATATAATTAAGCTTTAATTTATTTTAGAAAGTTCCAGCTTAAGAACAGAGTATCTATATTAAATCTTCGACAATTGAAAAGTAAACTTTTACTTCAATAGTTTTCTGTTTATGAAATATGAAGGTTAGAATAAATAAATAGTCAGCTGTTGGAAACTTTATAAGCCTGTTGACTGTGGGATAATAATCCTTAACAATTTGATTGCCCTGTAAATTTGTAAACAATAAATCGAGAGTCACATCTAATTCAATTTGTACTCACATAATAGGGACACGTATGGTTCAGTGTTGTAAAATTTTTGAAGTTATCAAAAATCAATTTGAAAGTCGGATTGTTGTTTTTTCGCATAAACTTGCAGACATCGACTGTGACATCAAAAAGCCAAGGCTTGTAGCCATTGGCCTTTGTCAGGATCTGCGCTCTGGCCTTGATATCGTACGCAGGATATAAGATATAAAGGTTTATATTGAGGATGGCCTTGTTTCGTTGCACGGCCTTCAGTCGACATTGATTGATTTCCACCCAGGACTTGTTATGGGATTCACAGACCGCATTTGTCAATTTAAAGATAGTCCCATTCTGCAAATTAAATATATTAAAACATTCTACAAATACGTACTCTATTCTTACAGTAACGTTGTTGTTGAGCATCAGCAAGAGCAGACCCGACTGAAGCAAGTAGTTACAGAAGATCGTATACTTTATTTCACATGCCATTTCAAGTGAAGCGATCTGACTTGATAGAATCCCAATACTAGTCTAGTTGCGCTATGCACCAAATAAAATTATTAAGCAATTTTTTTTTTAATTATTGAAAAGTTACGCCTCATTTATTGGCGAATGATTTCTGTATCTAGTTAATGTCCATAATTTGTATATTTTGTTTTAAAAACGAACGATGGCTTTGTTATGTATTGAAAACGATGATAAACAAAACCTGAAAGTGAGATTGTCTTCAGCACGCCGAAGATTTAATACCCTTGCAACTATCTGATATGGTGGTCGAATGTTGATAAGGTTTAGCATAAATATGTTTAGTCAAAACATTTTATAGATTGACAAATCCTTGAAACCATCATAAATTTATTTAAAAGCGGGGTTCCAGTTTTTCGTAGAAACTTACTGGCATCAACTGTGAGTCCTTTCTAGAATCTGCAATCTTGCATAGAAATCGCAGCAGGATGTCAAATAGAAAGGTTTTATGTCTAGGTTGTCTACGTAATTTGGTAGCCTTCAAAACTCTACTTACGTTTCACTTTAAACAAAAGTATGTATGCATATATTGTTTATAAATTATCCAAAAACAACATTAGTTGTTGTTAATGTTCAGTAAGTTGCAAATGCAAATAATTTATTTGTATCTTAGGTAAGTAAGAGCAGTTAGTCGAGTGCGCTGAAACTTTCACTAGAAATCGATATTTAACTTCAAACATTTTCTATAAACTATTTTGTCTTCTCCGATTTTGTATAATAGAAAGTATTTTCGATCTTCGGTTCTGTACTTGCTAGCTTTATGTTATTTTGTAAAAGTAGGGCAAAATATTTGTAGCTAAGATTTCTGGAAAGATATTTATTAACAGTGGCACTTCTTAAAATATTATAAGTTATTGATTTATGTATAGTATATGAAAATTTACTTAATGACAGTTTAACAGTCACAAATTTCTAAAAAAAAAAAACAAAAAAAAATTAAAAATTGACTATTTGCTGAAGCGCAACAAATGAATAAAACGAGTCACGTACATTAAAAAAAAAAGTGCTTCACAAATCTCTTTTTGCATTGAAAAACAAGTAGAATTAAATTAAATGCCCATCAAGATAGGTCGAACAAAAATGTCGAGTTGAACAAAAACCTAAATGTAAAAAATAAAACAAATAACTTAAATAAGAATATAGATTGTGTGAAAGAATAATACGAGCCTAAGCTTTTCCTTATACATTATTAAAATGACAGGGAGGACTTTAAGGAGGACTCTTTAAGTTTTTTTCGACAGTTTATCAAAATAGGATCAATAATGGCTTTCCATTTCCCAATTGTTAAATTTACAAAGATTTTAGACATACATAGAAATTAAATTCTCAACCCATATTCCACAGGGTTTACCTACTAATTCGAGAATATAGGCAACCGATATTTGATTAAAGGTTCAATTTGCATTTATCAAAGTTTAAATAAAAGTCGCTTAATTGAACGTGTTCTTGTTAGAAAAATGTTTGAGTCATTTAAATTGCATTACCACATACATATATATTTTTCATATATATAAATTCCATGCCAGCTAAACAAAAATGTATATAAATTATTTGTCGAAACGCATTTAATCCCCAAAATGGTTTTTTACCTGTTTGTTTGCATTATATCAAATTTTTTTCACACAAATTTCGTTTTACAGATAAAAAGTAATTTCCCAAATGGAAGTTAAGCTGACAGACAAAACTTGACAACAACAAAAAAATACCCTATCAAAATCAAGATCTCATTATTAGCGAGTCTCTGTAACAATCCCAGAGTTTAAAAAACATATATCAAATACCGATTCCTATAACAAATCATGGTGCAAGGACTATACTCAAAATTGATCTGAATGCCTTCATTCTATTAAAGCTGATGCCTTTCAATTTGTAAGATATGCCAATGAATGCCATATTTAAACTGCAACAGACTTTAAATGTTGCAGTATTTCACCGGAAGAAGCACGGAAGTGGGTGAGGCATTTTTTTATTATCAAGAGTCTTCATTCCAAATTTGTTTTGTCTAGCCCCCAGTGTGTGAATTAAAACTTTATCTGTACGGATATCCACGAGTATATATATATATATATATAATTTCAATAGATTCGAAAAAAAGGCATTCATGCGCAAAGTCGGACGGACAATATATTATGAGTATAAAAATGAAACTAAACGTCATGCCAATAAAATTATATTTTATAAGTATTATATGAGTTGGGCTAAATTACAGAATAATTGAAAGTAGCTTAATATGTATTTAATTTTCGATTAAACTAAAATTAATAAACGCATGCAAGTTAAATGAAAATCATGCAGTCGTAACAAGCATTCGATGCTGAAAATATCACGATGTCGGCCAGATGGAATATGTTTTGGCTATTGCTGCCAATTCTGCTAACAATAAAACTAAATGTGCGAACCAAAAGGTCTGTGGTCTGTGGCATATCTAATTTTGTATATATTTACAGAGCGGGATCGTCTTCAAGATGACGAACGCCGTTTGCGAGAGCCACAATAAATCCTGGGTGCTAATCGACACCTGTCGACTTCGAGCCTTGCAGCGCAACAAAACCGTCCTGAATGTGTTCCTAACATTGCTGCATCCATCGAATTCTGTCAGAATCGAATATCAAGTTAACAAAAGAGCCAACGGCTACAAACCTTGGATAGTTAATGGAGAATTTGATGTTTGTAAACACTTGCGAAGACCAAAAGATAAATTTGCCGACCTACTCTTCGCTCTAATCGGCGAATTTACATCAATTAATCATCCCTGTCCATATAACGTGAGTAATATTTTACCTTTACAATGTATAAAAATATAATAATTTCTGTTTTGTAGGGAAAGAACTACTTAAAAAATTTTTATCCAAGAGCTGATAGGCTACCCGTTATACTGCCAACTGGTGAATATGTTTTACTAATGAATTGGAAATTCTATGGAAGAACTCAATTCATTACCAATGTCTACTTTACATTTGTGGAGAATTTTTAAATGGTGTCTTCAGACACGGGTTTTCAAATTACACAACTAATTGTTCTATTACTTTTCAGTGTAATTATATATTAATACGCTGATTAAAAACCGTTTATGCCTATTCAAGCGTGACTAACGCAGCTTTTTAATTTAAAATGGAAATTATCTCTATATGCATTATGCATAATATAAAAACCTTTGTTGTTCTACACAATTTTTTAGTTTATTGAACGGAATTCAAATCTAAAAATCAAATTTTAACATATTTGAAAAGCGCGCCAGAACGTAGAAGAACGGTTAATTGCAGTAGTTCGATAAATCGTAATAAACGGCCGATAGCAGCATGCATTTATCGAAGAGTGCGATTGAACTAGTTCACAGCAGAACTAACTCTATTGATTACTAAAACAAAAAGAATTTGGCAAAAACATTTGGTATTGCTGCAAAGCTGCTTAACAATTTTATAGTTATCATCAAAAGCAGCAAGCATGGATGTCATCAACAAATTCTACTCGTCCGCCGTGCATACCGTCTCGCAGCTGTCGGGTGTGCTGCCTGGCAATAATGTAACACGGGAATACGAAGTATTGGACCAGATTTGCACAGCGGGTGTGGGTAAGAGCAGGAAATATGCACTGACATATGCGTATCCAGCTAATCGGTACACATTTGAAATATTTGAAATATTTAGGACTCATGTGGAAGGTCTACAATGGCCACAAAAAGAGCACCAAGCAGGAAGTCTCGGTCTTTGTGTTTGAGAAAAAGGTACTGGAGCGCTGGTCAAAAGACGACCGGGAAACAATGCTGGAGACGTTGCGGCGGGGCGTTCAGCAACTAACAAAAATACGACACCCGCATGTCCTAACCGTGCAGCATCCGCTGGAAGAGAGTCGCGATTCTCTGGCCTTTGCCACGGAGCCAGTTTTTGCATCGCTCGCCAATGTCGTTGGGGACTCGGTGCGTTCGGAAAAGAAGCTTTACGATGTGGAAATACGCCATGGGCTGCTCCAGCTGTTTGATGGCCTGCAATTCCTGCACAACGATGCCAAGATAGTGCATCGCAACATCAGCGCCGAAACGATTGTGATCAACAAGAACCGCAGCTGGAAACTGTTTGGCTTCGATTTCTGCATAGCCAATCAGCCATCAACAAATGGCACTCCTCACTGGCCATGTAGGGAGTACAGCACATCCCTGCACGTGCTGGCCCAGCCAAGCTTAGAGTATACAGCGCCGGAGCTGGCTTTAAACAGTGTTAACACGCCGGACAGTGACCTTTTCTCGCTGGGTAAGCGCACTTTACTGATTCTTATCAATATCAATCACTGTACAATTACAACCTTAGGTGTGCTCATCTTCACAATTTACTCGGGCAAACCGCTAAAAATGTTCGGAAGCGATTACAGTGGCTTTCGGCGTTACGCCAACGATTTGAATCAGCGCAAGTACCCGCCCATGAACACAATACCAAGCGAGCTAACCGAAAGTCTCAAAGCCCTGCTGCATCCCAGCGCCAGTTTGCGGCCTAAGTTGCATGAGCTGAAATCGATTGCTTACTTTCAGGACGTGGGCGTCAAGACTCTAAGCTATTTGGACTCACTTTACCAGTGGGACAATCTGCAGAAATCCAAGTTCTACAAGGGTCTGCCGCAGATAATACCCACGCTGCCGCATCGCGTGAACTTACACTCGATATTGCCCTATCTGATCAAGGAGTTCGTCAACTCGCCCATGATTCCATTCGTTTTGCCCAATGTGCTACTGATTGCCGAAATGAGCAGCCAGCGCGAATACTGCGATCACATACTGCCGCACTTGAAGCCCATTTTCAAGCTGACGGATCCCATACAGATACTTCTGATATTTATGCAGAAAATGGATTTGCTTCTCAAGCTAACGCCGGCAGAGGAAGTGAAGCAGAGTGTGCTGCCCCTGCTCTACCGTTCACTGGAGTGCGACATGCCGCAAATACAGGAGCTGTGCCTGGGCGTGCTCCCTACCTTTTCCACTCTCATCGATTATAATGCCATGAAGAACGCAGTCATACCGCGTATTAAAAAACTCTGTCTGCTTAGCAACAATGTTTCGGTTAAGGTTAACTGTCTTATATCGATTGGCAAGCTACTGGAGAACCTGGACAAGTGGCTGGTGCTAGACGAGATTCTCCCATTTTTGCAGCAGATACAGAGCCGCGAGCCTGCAATTGTAATGGCTATAATAGGTGGCGTTGTCTACATTTAACAATGTTTTTCCATATTATTATTATGAACTCTTCTTTGCAGGCATTTATAAAATCGCCATGACGAACACAAAGCTGGGTATCACAAAGGATGTAATGGCGCACAAATGCATACCGTTCCTGGTGCCGCTGAGCGTAGAAAATGGACTGACCATAGCGCAATTTAATACCATCGTCGCGCTAATCAAAGAAATGCTGGGTAGAGTGGAGCAGGAACAACGTGAAAAGCTCCAGCAATTGTCTACAATACAGCGGGACAACAAGTAAGTTTTGAATACTTGAGTACAACACTTCATTCCCAACAATACTACCTCGTATAGACCCAAGGATGCTTCCGAGATACTGGCCAATGAGTTGGATAACGCTACGCTATCGCCCTCAAGCAGCTATGGTGCTAGCAATGGCAATAAGAGCGACGATGATATGTTCTCCGGCTTCAGCGTGGGTCAGCCAGCGAGCGCTGCGACGCCAAAACCTACCGCTACAGCCCTGGCGCCTGTCAAAACAAGGGAGCAGCTCAAGTAGATGATGCAATCAGCGCTGAATACCAAGAAAATTAAGTCAATATCTTATATTTTCAGAATAACGCACAATACAACGACAGAGACAACATCGAAAACGGACATGTTTTCATTAATGCAAAGCAATCTGAGCAGCCTAAGCACTGTCCAGAGCACACCAGCAGCAGCAGCAGCAGCTGTTCCTCAGCACGCCATGCCCTTCAATGCGAGCAGCAACAATAGCAACAATTGGCATAGCGCAAATCCGCTGGTCATGAATCATCAGCTAGCCTCACCGCAGGCCAGCAGCAACAACAATTTCTCCTCGCTGGACGATTTAGATCCATTTGGTTCTGCTGGTGCCGCCAGCCAGATTGCCAAGCCCAATAATGCAAATGGTGCCAATATGTATACGCTGCAGCAACCCACAGTTAACTACATATATCCAACTGGCTACAATGCATCAAACAGCATGAACAACATGCAGCCGAGCATCGGTCTAAACAAGCCAATGATCATGGGTGCAGCAGGCACGGCCACGCCCACGCTGATGCCACAGATGACCCAGTCAACGGATAGCAAGAATCTTAACACGTTATCGCAACAAGACATACTTAACTTCTTGAACTAGACACATCATTCCCGCGACAGCCTACCGAGCATGTCTGCCAAATAGCCAATGTTTTAACTAACTATTCCGTACTATATATATATTTAAATTATAAATGAGTGTATGTGCAATTGTATGTCTGTGTATGTGCGTGTGATTGTGTGAGTTAGTGTTTTTGAGCAGTTTTGAAGTTTTGCTCGTTGTATCATTCAACAAATATCAATTTTAAAAGTGAATGTGCATAATTTATTGTTAGTCTAGGCAAACAGTCAAGCAACCTATTATATATAGAGTACATCTAGATGTGTATTGTGCAATTTGCTCCTTAGTGTATCTCAGTGTACACAAGCTAGTTAAAATATACTTATTATCAATTAAAAACAGCCAACTATAATTTATTGTTATTTAATTGTATTCTCTCTTTCTCTATACTTTACGTAATATGAATCTACAACAAGTTAAAGTATAACAAAGCGCTCTTTTTTACATTAATACATTCATTTGCCGAACTGGGCTCACAGAGATTCCTACAACTAGTTAGCTAATTAACAATTTAGCATGGCAAAGCTGAAGACGAGAACAGTCTAGGTCTCGACCAGGATGTGCGTGAAGAGACTATGCAATCTGCGTTCCACCTCCTTGTAGACAAGCGAGTTGAGGCCATCGGTGTGCATACGCAGTGAAGCGGATCGCAGCAATGCCATTCGATTTTCATTTGGTATCGCGTGTTTGTGCTTTAGCATTGTGTACTCACTGTACGCCGGATCAAAGCGGCAGATCTCGATGCTCACGACTTTGAGGCGCTCGTACAGATCGTCGTCCTCGCCGCCCCAACCATGGTACAGATTCGACATGCCATTTATCATTGTAAATTGGGAGGTACTAATCGCCACAACGCCACCAAATAGTGTGCGATATGGCAGATGAAAACGCCAGCTGTCCAGCGCGGAGCTCATGTGCCTCGGCTGAACTGTGCATGCGTAAATCTGACCGGAATTCAATGGCATTAGGTCCACGTCGTGCAGTATTAAGCAAGGATAACCATAGCTTTCTGCCACTTTGGCGCCTATGTTGAAGAGCATGGCCCGATTAAACGGTTTCCGGTCGCTTTGCTCCACCACAAAAATTCGATAATGGATTTGCTGCAGGCGCAGATAGTTGTGCATATAGTTGAGAAATGCGACCAGCTGCTCCTGCCGATCCCGATACGGTACAATAATGGCGGTACTGAATCGTGCACGGCATTCATCCGGCTGATATTCGCCGCCAAGCCGTATTTCCTGCCCGCGCAGAATAGCCGCACGATGCGCTGCATCGTAGACAAAAGTGCTATCAGCTAGCACCTCCTTGTAGCTGCAATCGATTGCCTGCTGCGATGAGATATTCGAAACGGTTGCCGAAAGAAGCGCCTCCTCAATGTGCTCCTTATCGATGTAGTCATAGCGCAGGGCGAATCGATGAGGCAGTAGAATGTAGACGAGGATGGTTAGCGCGCCGCTGAATAGAAGCAAGTCGTATATATGAAAACTGTGCTGGCACAGCCTTAATATCATTATTCACTGTTATAGTATTAACTGAAGTTGAATGCTACAGTACATAGTTGTAGCTTATTAAATATTTTTGTACTATTTGCATGTGAAAACACGAAAAACAGGAACAACAGTGCAGCAGGCCAGCACGGCAATTAACAGAAACAATTCAATGTTGGCATTAACATAACATAGCATGGCAAAATGTTATTAACAGCGGCAGCTTATTTCTTCGCCGAAAAATTCCAGTTCGCTGTTAAATTTTTAAATATTCACATATGTTTTTTAATATTTATAACCGTTTTCTGGAAGCTAAAAAGCGAAAATGTCTCAAATTTGATTTAACATTTGATAATTAACACCAATCAAGTGGGAGCAAAACCAGAGATCAGCTGTTCCTTAACATAAACGATCGTTGACCGCAATTAGATTCTGTCTTCTCTCTTTCTTCTCTTCACTGTTTTCGAAGTTCAATGCCCGCCTACAATTTTTTTCGTTTTCCAACACCTTACCTTTCTTTTTGTCTTTTTTGTCGGTTTGTTTAGATTCTTATACGACCTGTAAAAAGATTTCGAATTGATTTTCTGTATGTTTCTGGATGTTGTACCTAAAACGAAAGAGTTATAATTAAATACTTGTTATATATTTGCTAAAAGTTGTGTAAATAAGCCAATACGAAGTAATGCAACTTATTAACAAACTGACCCAAAACTGGACTGGCTAAATTATATTAACATCTAAAACATATAAACACATACCCATTTCGGTTGATAACGCAGCAGTCGATAAGATATGCACTTTCAGCTCGAGGCAGTTACTCATCAGACGTCTAGTTGCGAACACTTATGTCTATTTTAGCAACAGAATGTGCATCGCATTTAAATGTTCTGTTTACATAGCTGTATACTGTGTATACCTCCTGGAATTGAGTGCTGAAGAGGGGCAGCTGCTGCGACGTCAGTAAGAGAAAAAACTTGTTTATCGCTGACAAATATTTTTAAATTAGCCCGCTTATACCAGTTAAGAACTGTACAATACAGGGAGAATGCCCGGATCACTCCATATGCACAAAGGTTGTCGACAATTTCGGCTGCATCTGCTGGCAGGGTTATCATCTGAATCCCGACTGGTCTGCTAGCGACCTGGACAATACCGACTGGGATTATTGTGTCCGTCAGCCGGCAAATAAGACTGTTATCGTGCACAATCGCCTGCCAGCAAAAAGCGAACACCTGGCCGTCGCCATTCTGCTGGTTTTATTTGGTGTGATTGTTGTGACCCTGGTACTTTACTGCTTCGTTGCACTCCGTCCAATTAGCCGCACTCGTGCTGCTTACCGCCGTATGCAATTGAGACGCTCCAATCATCGCCGGCTTCAGGAGTTTGATGATATTGACATGACTTTTCGCGACACACATAACGCGGATTGTCTTGATTAAATAAAGTTAACGATAATGTATCGAGTGAAAGACTGCAATTACCAAATAGTTTTTCATATACCTGTGCAAATCAACTTAAAGATAATAAACGATATCTCTGTATTATCGTAAACAGTTAACCATTTAAGGAATGTTATTATAATCGAAAAGAGGAAAAGGTACACAACTGATAAAAATTATAACTATTAAATAAGTTTATACATTGGCCAGGGTACATTATTTTTCCTATTCTTCCGTTACTGTTCCTCCTGCCCTTTATGTTAGAATTACGCCATTTTTAGTGCTCAATTATAAAAATTTGGTATTTAATTAAGGCGCGAAAAATGTGTCCAGAATCGAAAATACCTTTATCGATAGATCTATCGAACTTGCGGTATGAAGTATCGAACGACCGGCTGAGATACACTTCCCTATTATTTATAACAAATGCTTTTTGATAAACGCGGTCAGCAAACACTTGCAAAATGACCTCAATTATTAAACTGCACACCATCTCTGGTGCCATGGACGAGTCGCCGCCGTGCTACATTTTACAAATAGACGATGTGCGAATATTGCTTGACTGCGGCTGGGACGAGAAATTCGATCCGAATTTTATAAAGGAATTAAAAAGGTAACAAACCAATTTAGATAAATGGCAAATCGTTAACCGAACTTGTTTTAGGCAAGTGCATACCCTGGACGCAGTGCTGCTATCCCATCCAGATGCATATCATCTCGGCGCGCTTCCATATCTGGTGGGCAAGTTGGGCCTCAACTGTCCCATCTACGCGACCATACCTGTCTTCAAAATGGGCCAAATGTTCATGTACGATTTGTATATGTCGCACTTTAACATGTACGATTTCGATCTGTTTTCATTGGATGATGTGGACACAGCCTTTGAAAAGATCACGCAATTAAAGTACAATCAAACGGTCTCCCTGAAAGGAAAAGGCTACGGCATTTCCATAACACCACTAAGCGCTGGTCACATGATTGGCGGCACCATTTGGAAGATCGTCAAAGTTGGCGAGGAGGATATTATTTATGCCATTGATTTCAACCACAAGAAGGAACGGCATCTCAGCGGCTGTGAGCTGGACAGACTGCAGAGGCCATCTCTGCTGATAACCGACGCCTACAATGCACAATATCAACAGGCCAGAAGGCGTGCGCGCGATGAAAAACTGATGACAAACATTCTGCAAACCGTGCGGAACAATGGCAATGTACTTATCGCTGTGGATACAGCTGGTCGCGTCCTGGAGCTGGCGCACATGCTTGACCAGCTGTGGAAGAACAAGGAATCTGGTTTGATGGCCTATTCCTTGGCGCTGCTCAACAACGTCAGCTACAATGTCATAGAATTTGCCAAGTCACAAATCGAATGGATGAGCGACAAGCTGACCAAAGCCTTTGAGGGCGCGCGCAACAATCCCTTTCAGTTCAAGCACATCCATCTCTGCCACACGCTCGCCGACATCTACAAGCTGCCCGCAGGTCCCAAGGTGGTGCTTGCCAGCACACCGGATATGGAGAGCGGCTTCACCCGCGATCTATTTGTGCAATGGGCTAGCAATCCAAATAATAGCATAATTTTCACAACACGCACCGGTCCTGGTTCGCTGAGCATGGAGCTGGTGGAAAATTCAACGCCAGGCAGGCAGATCGAACTGGATGTGCGGCGACGCGTTGAGCTGGAGGGCGCAGAGCTCGAGGAATATCTGCGCACTCAGGGCGAGAAACTTAATCCGCTCATTGTTAAGCCAGAAGTTGAGGAGGAGAGTAGCTCTGAATCCGAGGATGATATTGAAATGAGCGTTATTACGGGCAAGCATGATATTGTGGTGCGGGCCGAGGGCCGTCATCATTCAGGCTTCTTCAAGTCAAACAAACGCCATCATGTCATGTTTCCCTACCACGAAGAAAAGATTAAGTATGACGATTATGGTGAAGTCATCAATCTGGATGACTATCGCATTGTGGACGCCGGCTACGACTACGCGCCCATGGACGAGCAAAACAAGGAGAACGTTAAAAAGGAGGAGCCACATGTGGAGCAGCAGACCAATGGCAACCTAGACAATGATGTGCAAATGCTGGAGAAACCCACCAAGTTGATCAGTCAACGCAAAACCATTGAAGTCAACGCACAAATCCAACGCATCGACTTTGAAGGCCGCTCCGATGGCGAATCAATGCTGAAGATTCTCTCACAGCTGAGGCCGCGGCGCGTCATCGTGGTACACGGCACAGCCGAGGGCACCCAGGTGGTGGCCAAGCACTGTGAGCAGAACGTTGGCGCTCGCGTCTTTGCGCCGCAAAAAGGCGAAATAATCGATGTGACGACGGAGATTCACATTTATCAGGTGCGCCTAACCGAGGGTCTCGTTTCTCAGCTGCAATTCCAGAAGGGCAAAGATGCGGAGGTGGCCTGGATTGATGGTCGCCTTGGTATGCGCCTACAGGCCATCGATGCACCCAATCAATCGGAAGTCACTGTGGAGCAGGACGTGGCGGCGCAGGAGGGCAAAACGCTTACATTAGAAACTCTCGAAGAAGATGAAATTCCCGTGCACAACTCGGTGTTGATCAACGAACTGAAACTATCCGACTTCAAACAGGTGCTAATGCGCAACAACATTAACTCCGAATTCTCTGGCGGCGTCCTCTGGTGCTCCAATGGCACACTGGCGCTGCGGCGCGTTGATGCCGGCAAGGTGGCCATGGAGGGCTGCTTATCGGAGGACTACTACAAGATACGCGAACTGCTCTATGAGCAGTATGCCATTGTATGAGGAATAAAACTAAGCTATGGACATGTCATGTTGTTTAATATATTAGGTATATACATTTGTTTATAAAAATTGCAGCATGGGATCGTCGGTGCGCGTGCGTTTCTTCTTCCATTCCTCGATTTCCTCCTCGGTAGGCGCCTTAACATCGTACATGCTATTGTATGGCCGCTTTCTATCATCAATTTCATCAGGCTGATTCTCGGATCGGACTGCAGGCGTCTCCTTTTCCTTAATTTCTTTGTGTTTCTTTTTGTTTTTTCGCTGCTCCTTGGCTTTCTTTTTCTTTTCGCGCTTTTTTGATTTTTTCTTTGATTTTTTGCTCTCCTTTATTTCCTCTTCAGTTTCGGAGGAATCTTCCGAACTAGGCGCAGAATCTACTTCGGAGCCTGGTGCCTCATTTTCTAATGCTTCCGTCTGTATTTTTGGCACAGCATCTACAATTGGAGCGGCGACTGGAGGTGCACTTGATGTTGCCGGATGCTGCTGCTGTTGATCGGAATAGCCTTCCGGCTCCTGCATGCCCACACAGTAGGAGTTCTTAATAAAGGATTTGCAGCATTTGTAGCCCCAACGACCGGAATTCCAAAAGCTGCCCCATATGGTTGTGTGATTGTTTATGTACACATCCTCCTCGTATATGCTGCGTGCCTTAGGCTTCTCGATGCCTTTGATAACCTTGCCACTGCGCGAGTACTCGACATATTCCTCGGTTTGAGCAAGCAATAACGATTTGGGCGGCACCTGTAAGTGCTCCTCGCCTCCGTACTTTTCCACGATGTCTGTTTTGGTCTGCAAGGAAAACTGTGTTAGTGCTGTTTAGAATAATAAGTTTTTCTTTAACCTACACTTGACTTGAACTGTTCCTTTTTCTGTTCGTACTCCTTCTGCAGCAGCTCCAGCTTTGTGGGCTCGGCAAGCAAATGGACATCGACGCCCTTGCCGTGCGCCTCCCAAGCGAACAATTGTGCAGTGGCTTGGGCTGTTGTGTCCCCAGAGAAACGTACAAAGTTCTCGCCCGCAAACTCCGCTCTAGAAAATTAAAAATCGTTAGTTAAACTGCATAAGAAAATACAACTCAACTTACTCCTCCGCTGGAACAGCTGGATTGGGATTGTCGCGCATAGATCGCGTCTTGGGATCATAGTAAGCTGAGTTTGGATCCAAATTGCGCAAATATTTCGCTGTATCCTCACGTATGCGTAAATTACGCACGGTAATACGCTGTTTTGAGTCGACTTTTGTGCCTGGCATGTCCACCTCGTCCACGTATTTGTCCTCGTTACCCTCCTCATCGGAGATTTCAGCATCAGGATCTGCGAAATGTCCAGATTACTAAAAGAAACAGCTTTTTTTTAGGCAGAGACAGCTTACCATTCTTTAATTTCTCTGCCTTAAGCTGGCGCTTTGCTTCCTCGACTTTTTCATACTCCTCGATGATTTCGCGATGATTGGAAGGATCGTAGGAGCTCCATCGATCCCGCTTTTCATCATAGTTAATCGACGCATCGGTCACAATGTGCTCGTCGTGCACCACAATCGATTCGGCGTACTTGGCCTGGACCTTGCGCGGCCTTTCCAGGCAATCCTTTTTCTTATGGGTCATGGCGCCACAATTTTCACAGGCGCCCTTACGAAACTTGGTAACCAGTTTTGTGGTGTCCAGGCCTTTGGGAGCCCTATTGTCCAATTGACCACGTTCATCTTCGTGCTGTGGCCGTTGATGCTTTAATGTGGGCCCCTGGGAGCCGTAGTACCAGGGCGCATTTGAAATATACTGCGGAATGTGTGGATTTATGTCACGACCTTCCTCGTCAACGGCGGCCGGCGCAGTACCCGCTTTTCGGGCTTCCTCCAGCTCCTTGGCCTTGCGCCAATCTTCGCGTGACTTCTTTTTGGGCTCGTCCTCAACATCTTGATCATCCTTATTGTGGATTATTTGCGATACGGGCGTTCGAACAGCGCCCGAACTCATAGCGAGAGATTTGTTTAATGTTAACAACTGTAAATTATTCAATCAACTAATATTGTTTTGGTATCGGTGGTACAATGGAAATGAGCAAAACGTACAACGATAGAGATTTACTTTAATATATCGATAGCATAATACAAAGAAAGTGCGATAACAATACATGCCATTCGCCAAAAACGTTAACATAAAAACAGCAATGGCCCACAGTCCGGTGACTGGCAACACTGACGGCGTCTCATTCGTGTAAAAATTATACTACAGTGCGGACGCGTCTAAAATCCAAAGACTACTAAGTTTCCATTTTCTTGTTACAATCATTCCACGCATATATAAACAAATAACGTGCCTTGTGATTTTCTATACACAACCAACCACAACGGAAAAATCGATTAAATAAAAATGGTAATTTCAACAAAGACTAACTGTCGCGGCTGCCGCTGCAGCGCATCGCAATCTGCTTGCCAGAAGCGGTTTGACGTACCGTCGTTTATTGCGCGTGCCTCGCGACCTGAAATATTAATGCTACCACGGACCACGTAGCGCGAACATTGACAATTGGCGCTGACGTTCTCTGATAGTCCGCGGTGCTATTTAAATTGGAAAAATTTTAACCAGTGTTATTGTGGCGGGGCGGCAAAACGTTCGTGTTTAACCTCAAAGTTTAGTGCTAATGTCGATTTTGCCGCCACCATTTTGTGTAGCGTATTCCGTATTCTTTTTGCTTTCTACTCTGTATGTGTGTGTTGTTTGTGTTTTACTAATTCTGGACAAAATTCTCTTCTGCAGGCTGGTGGCAAAGCGGGCAAAGACTCTGGTAAAGCCAAGGCGAAAGCGGTTTCACGATCGGCGCGCGCGGGCCTTCAGGTGAGTTATTGTTGTTGTCTGTACCAAATAAATTTTTGGCGCCTTTTTTACCAGCTCACATCATACATATACATATCTATGTATATGTGCACAACAGGGTGCGTTTGCATCAGCCGTGTGTGTATGTTTGCTGGGAAATAAATTGCTTGTGCTAGTTGGGGGTAGCAAAACATAAACAAGAGATGAAACTTTTTCCTAATGCGATTTTTATGTGCTTTTATACCAAACAGTTTCCCGTTGGTCGTATTCATCGCCATCTCAAAAGCCGCACCACATCGCACGGACGCGTTGGTGCCACCGCTGCCGTATACTCTGCAGCCATTTTGGAATACTTAACTGCTGAGGTGAGATTTTCGCGCCTAACGTTATTTCTTTTTCCGTTTTTCTATTGTCAAATATAACGGTGTTTGCTTGTGTTGATTAGAATGCATGCGTATTTGTAAATGTTGACAACGGCATTTGTTTACATGCTGGCCTGTTAACAGAATTCTTATGTATTGCCGTAACAGATCAATGTTAACTAACGTATTCCAATTGGCAACATTTATGCTGTTAAGCAATTTATTCAAATACTCATTGTTTTCCGATACTGCTCTTTGCAGGTGCTAGAGTTAGCAGGCAACGCATCGAAAGATCTGAAAGTGAAGCGCATCACGCCGCGCCATTTGCAGTTGGCCATTCGCGGAGACGAGGAACTGGACAGTCTGATCAAAGCAACCATCGCCGGAGGCGGCGTCATTCCGCACATACACAAGTCGCTTATTGGCAAGAAAGAGGATACCGTGCAGGATCCTCAGCGGAAAGGAAATGTCATTCTCTCGCAGGCTTATTAATGATTGCCTCTTCTTTTTGACTATTTCGGAATACAAATTTTACATCTATGTTTAAAAATATATTACAAACTAAATGACGCGTTGTAACAATTCTGTGCGAAGCTGCCAAGGCGTTAAGCATAATTCTAATTTACAACAATTTCTAAATCCAGCCCATCATCTCCCAGCATCTGCCCGCTACCCTAACCTACCCTACCCTAGCCTTCCTTCTATCGTCAACAGGCAACATGAACATTCAACACCCGCACTCACACACACAAACACCCACACACACACACTCACGCACTTACACATACAAATGTAAACTTAATTGTCAAGCAAAATGCAATGTTAAATGAGAAAGAGGATTAATGCAAACTTAATTTAGAGCAAAGTAAATTACACAAATAAATTTAATAAAACTTTAAATAAAAAACAAAACAACAACAATCCCAAATTGTTATTGGACAATTTATTAGACAATTAATTGTTGAAATAAACTTTGTGCACAAAATAGTAATAGTAAGAATTACATTAATCAAAATATCTTGGGCACCATGGAACAGCTTAGCCCAGTAAATGCGGCACTGCCTTCTGGACATCGTCGCAGCGCTCCTTGAGGTCCTCAGCATCCAGCTCCAGGCAAGCGCCCCATTCAATCAATGTGATGCGATGATCCTTGTTGGAATCGCACGACTCCAGGAAAGGCGCAATGCAATGCTCCAAGCTGACCAACGGTGCGCGTATGGGGAACAGCTCGTGGCGGGACACCGAGCGATCGGTGTCGCCATCCAGGTCACACCATTTCCATACAGCTGCGTTGGCCCAGCGGCGCGAGTTGTTGGTCTCGGCCTCCAGCTCCATTTGCATGTAGTGTTCGGTCAGCTCGTCGCGCTCGGCCAGATCGCGCATCACGTTGAACAGCCAGTCGCGCATGCGACGCGGGAAGTCTTTCAGATCCTCGCCGTCGCAAACGCGCGACTCGTGGCAGGCGCCATAGTAGTCGATGTGCAAATGCGCATTGTCTGGATGACGGCAGCCCGGATCCTTGATGTCGCACCAGCAACGCTGCTGGTAGACGGCGCAGTCCGAGGGCCAGGTCTCGTTCTTGTTGGTGCACACATGACGACGCACATCCGACTCCTCGGGGCACTCGGGAATGCACACGCACTCTGGCTTGCTCTTGTTCAGTTGGCAAATGCGACCGGCGCCGCAGTGCATGATCTCGCAAGGATCAACCTCGACAACTGGATTCAGTATGTTATGCTGCACCTCCGCCAATTTCTGGGCCAGCTCATTCTCACGGTCCACATCTTTGTTCTGACCGAATGCAACCAGTTAGTCATACAAGGAGTTCACATTTTATCGATTTAGTAATACACACCTTGGACTTCTCCTCCAGCAAGGCCAGAAACTCCTCATCGTCCTCATCGAAATCGGCTATGTCGTCCAAGTCGATATCAGCAATGGACTCCTCGGAGCGCACCTGACCAAGCGCCAGCAGCCCCAAACAGAGCAGCAGCCAAACGGAACGCATTTCGCTACGAGTTCTGAAAGTGCCCAAGCATATATTACTTACATATACTATTACTACATACTTAAATATTTATATATATATGAATAAATAATCTTCCTCAAGTGCGGGAGGTCAAACGGTGACGCGATTAAGTTTGGCCTTCAAGGCAAACAGAATTTCATTTTGAAATTTTGCGCCAAAAAACAATCGTTTTCTATTTTCTTAAAGTGCACGAGACTGTACTGCTGTAACGGTTCGCACTGTAACGGTAATCAACCCCCTTTTTAGGGTGGCTTACACTGCAAAGACTTTGCGCGGCATTTGAAGACGCCGCATTTCTCTACATGTCAATGCAACATACATTTTGGAAGGGCATTTGCCAGGAAGTTGCGGAATTCAATGAATACAATGCGCACTTATTGTTGACGGGTGAACAAATTGCAAAAAGGAGAACGCATCGAATAGGGTGGACCAGCTTACACACACTGATATTCTCGCAAAACAGTTACAAATCTTTAGTTTCATAAAGACATTAAGTGAATATTTTACTTTAGAATCTAAATATTATTGACTTGTATGTATTTGTTTAAGATGATGCTCCTAACGATATGTTTTCGGGGTTTTAATATTCAAACAGCCCTTTAAATTCTTGGCAAAAGTTTTGGCTATGCATTTGGGTCAATCATAAAAATGTTTTGTAGCACACACATATATAAGAAATTAAAGTATAATTCTAGTTATAAATAGAGTTAATTACCAAATCAAAAATAATTGATTGGTTTATTGTGTTAATAATAGGAAATCCCTTAAATTCTTTGAAAGAAACGCTAGAAAAAAAAAAACAATAAAATTAAAGGTTTTAATGGTTCTAATATTCTATAGGAATAATTGCAAATCCTTATAAGCATAAAAAATGAATTAACTATATAGATGAATAATTAAGATTTGGAATAACTGTTGGTACAGCTCTAACAAACTTTAATATTTTTATATATTGGTATAAATAAAAGCAAATGAAATGAAAGAACGTTTAAGTGGGAACACATTTGCATCCAGGGCAAACCAAAAAAATGTTTTCTTTTAGAATAGATACAAAATAAAATTTGCCTATTGAAATTTTAGAAGCGATAACTTTCTTTAAAAATGTAATTTATTATGTTTAGGAAAATAACCAACCCATCTTTAATGTTACTTTCTATTAGTACAACTCTTTAGATATTTCGCGAATGTCTGTGGGAATTGCAATGCATTTGGGTCCACACTAAAAACAAAAATAGATTTTGAAGGCATGTTAAACACATGTTCTCCAGTTCAAAGCATTTGAAAATTGTTTATGATCGTTGCTTTGGCATAAAAAGCGCAATTCTGAAATCATCTCTATATACAGTTACATATATATATATATATATATATATATATATATATATATATAGGTATATGCAAATGTGTGTGTACTATATTCTCTATGGCACACAGTTCTGATTAAAGCTTGACCCGAATGCTGGGGCAACACGAAAACTATGGCCCAATTAGAATGCTCATCAGCCAAATATATGTTATAGAAGCATGTATTTGTACAATATAGTACATCTAGTTGTACAATATATAAGCACATAAGTACAATGACAAATGTGGGCTTATCGCATTTGCTTGGCCTGCGCTTATCTCTAGCCTGGGCTTCCGTTTTGGGAATTGAGATTTGCTCAATCGCCGCTTTTTCACTTGACCAGAGCGAATGCGCAATGTTTCTTTCGAATGTGGCACAATTCCTATATACACTCGCATTTCATATCCATATACAATATCTTCATATGCATGTGCATCTGTTGAATGCAACAGTTTCCCGGAATATTTCAATGGATGCTGCATGCCTTTGCTAGTCTCTCTCTCTCCCTCCATCTCTCATCTTGTTGCAGCTGCAGTTTAATTATAACGAAAAAACCGACCAAGAATGACGTGATCTATCGCATATAGCCGCAGATCTTGTTATGTTTGTGTGTGGGAGACTCTACACTCGATGTACCAGAATTTTCATTGTAATCATAGGCTACACTGAGCCAAAACTGGGTTGAGATTTTACAGTAGCCAAATTAGAAATATCTGAGATTTTGTTTTTATTCAAAATAAATCCAAGTGCAGGCAAGGAAATGCACTTGTGCCCAGATCTGACCTTGCAAGGTTCTAGTATAGAGCAAAATTTGAGCAATTTGATTAAATGAATTGGCAAATTGTTTTTAGAATTGAGTTCAATTAACTTTAATTGCAATGCAATTTAACGCAGATTATTGAACTTGAATATCGAAATACAATTTAAAGCTGAGACACGCAGAAAACTAAAAGCTACTCGAATTTCAAAACTTTGAATCGATTCTGAACAACGAGTACTTTGGATCGATTCTATACAACAAGTACTCCACAAATGATTCGCGGCTGCCTTGGAATACTTACTGAATATTTGTTGATTCAATTCCTGTACGATTGAGAGAGTATGTCCAAACGCGTCGGCGGCAGGCGAACAACTGTTGGCCGGACGATGGGCAACACAGCGATTATAGATCGTCGCCATGGGATGTCCACACATATCGCTTAACTGGAGCACAGGCGCGCACAACATGGCATTGGGCTCGCCAACTTGTTGGCTGCCAACATGTTCGTTCGCACAATAACAACACAGATTTTCATTTTTGGTTTTTTTTTTGTTTTTTCATGATCAAATCGTAGATTTTATTCGAGCAAGCATAACAATGTATATATATATGTATATATTAGACTTACCGATGGATCGAAATCTAGATACTTTGTTGTCTCAGTGCATCCGGAAGTGCTTTAGTGGGGTTTTGTTTCTTGTGTGTTGTGTGGAAAGAAATAGGGATTTGGTAATTTTAGAAATGCTGCATTTAAGTGTTTTTTGTGTGCTAAATACGTATAGATAGCGGTACTTAAGCATTCATCTAGACTAGTTAGTTAATAAGGTTCCACTAACTTACCTTAAAAAGCTTGACGCAAGCCCGCGAAAACATACAATAAAAATCATATAAATATATATTTAGAGAGACAATAACTGCTGCTTGCACTTGTTTCTAGAGCTGCATAGGCATAAGTTTAACTAAATTTAATTGTTAATTAAATAGATTGTTGGCTAAGTAGAACTTTAAGTACTTAGTTATCCGCAAAGACTTACTTAATATTGCAGCTAGGGCACAGCTCAAGTAAATATTAAGATACATAGTGTGGGTTTTAAGAATTTATTTATTTAAAAATAAATATAATGAAACTTGTTTTTCATAAATGTATATATAATAATTATATAGTAAGTTATATTGTGTAGAGCTATATTAAACTGGCAAATTAGGGACTCTCTTAGTTAGGCCTTGCATAATCTAATACATAGTATATCATATTGTTAAAATATAAACTGAAATCGTAATCGTTAAAGCCTTTGGCGTGCGCTACAAAACCTAAACATATCCATATACATATCAAGATATAGCAGCAACATCTATATTATTTATAAATTAATGCTAAACTTAGAGTTCATGTCGTGGCTGATTACAAGCACATAAATCCATTAATATTTTGTATTTTGAAATTTTTTGCTATTAAACACATAATTGTCGCACAATAACAAATCAGCCGTTCCTTCAACGTTCGTCTCTTTTGTTCTTTAAATATTTTGAATAATAAAAAGTAATCGTATTTTGAATCTGTAAAGCATTATCTAAAGATTGGCTCTACACATATAAACTGCTAAATGTGCAGCATTTGAATATTGTGGGCATTCGATCGATTTGCAGCAATTGCAAATTGAGTTTTGAGTGTGAGGAAACCGTTTACAACTTAATGATAAATTTAAGTAGAGCGTACAGTCATATACGTATATATATATATATATATATATATGTATATATATATTTATATACATTTATGTTTATACAAATTGACAGTAATTTGGATAGAATTATTTATATGGCTACAGTATTAAACTTTTCTATTTTATATCATATATTATTACTTGATGTGCGCAGCCGTGCGTTGCTCAACAGCCTTTCGATTTGATTGAATGTTACATATTACTTGGACGTATCTTTTAATTTCTTCATTTGGTATTTTGCTCGTCGGCCAAGTTGACTTCTTTTTTTTTTGGTTTTACGAGTATTAAGGCGTCTATTAATTATAATATATACGAGAGCTGTGCAAACTAGCTCTATATAAGCTCGGCTGCTAAAGGTTTTCGTTAAAGTCTAATTCGTTTACAAAAATACACGTTTACGGTGTTCTAATGCTGAGCTACGCACGGGCACGGGCACTCTACTTCGTTTGTATTTATAGACTGGAATTACATTTTAGGCATAAATAATTCTAATATGAAGAGAGAATAAGAGAGCACTAGTTGGTTAAGTTCTAATTTGGGTTTACAATTTGTATTATAATAACTTAGTTTTTTTTTTTTTGGAGAGAAAATTATGCATGGCAAGTTAACAGTAAATAAAATGAAACGACTTTCGCTACAACTCAGAGTTGTATCAAATATTTGTCTTATTAATAGGCCGAGTATCGCTTAAATACAAACATAGATGGATATCAATCGTTCAATAAATAACATTAGAGCTTAAGTTAAGGAGTTAAAAACTTTAGTTAGTTGTTGCCGTACGCTCAGTTAGATATAAACGTATATATATATATATTTATATATATAGTGAGAGAGAGACAACGCAGTTAATATATTATATTTATCCTGTTTTTAAGTTACTAAGCGAGTGTGTGTCCTAGCTTACTACGAGCCTATTTATCAGTATCAGTATCTGTATTTGTATCTTGAATTCTGAGCTTTTGTGCTGCTTTTAAGGCACACACAAAAAGGCATCTAAATTAAAGAGAATTATAAAGATTAGTACTGTGACATACTTATAGAGAGGGACACAATTGGAGTCAGTATTTGGTACCTTAAACTTTGCTTTAAATTGTACTAGGCATAAACGTACCACAACAATGACAACGCAATGCGTGAGGGCCAGTTGCAAGTCTCTCGCTTTACTTACCCCGACTAACGGCGATATTTGCTGTTCGCGCTGCCCCCGGTGGCCACCGATCCATTTGAAATATTCTTAGGTACGGGTCCCGAGGGTGGACCACCGCCACTGGGCGGCGGAGCTGCGGCATTGTAGGGCGCATAGCCGGGTGCTGGTGGCTGCGCGTTGTCTACGAAGAGAAAAAAAAGGCTGATACGTAAATACAGAATTTTACAGAAGTCATACTACTTACGATAGCTGCTGGGTGGTGCAGCGTACGGATTCATGCGGTTGCCATTCATGTTGTTGTGTTTAGTTGGGCCACCGCCATAGTTTTGTTGATAGCCGCTGCCAAAGTTTGGCGGCGGTGGCTGTTGCTGCTGTGGTGGTGGCGGCTGATGGGGTGGCGGGCCCTGTGTTACCGGCATGGAACCAGGTACTGGTGGTGCCCCAGACGGCGGCATATTCCAGTTGCCCACCACTTGCGGCGGTGGACCGCTGCGATGATGACCAGCCGGTGGCACGCCAGGTGTTGGCGGCTGTACCGCCGGCGGGCCGCCCCACTGGTTGGCATGCCACTGCTGAGCACCGGGTGGTGGAGGCGGTGGTGCATTCCAGCCATTCTGCGCAGGCGGATAAGCATTCCACGCATTCATTTGAGGCGGCGGCGGCTGCTGGTAATAAGGCTGCATGGGCGGCGGTGGCCCCCAATAGTTGTAGTTTGGTGGCGGAGCGGTCATGGGTGGCGGCGGCGGTTGATGCTGATACGGCGGCATTTGCTGCGGCGGAGGCACTTGGGGACGGTAGCCAGTTGGGGGCATGTTAGTTTTAGGCGGCGGCTGCTGCTGCTGCGGCATCTTGTTGCCGTTGGCTGTGGCGCCCTGTGCCATTCTGTCTTTCTTTTCCAGATTGTATATGGACTTTTTAACGTCGACGAGCACGTATTTAATCGAGTGCTGTCTTTGAACTGTTCGTAAAAATGTATTGCAATAAATAGTCTAAATTAATTGGCTTTATTAGACTTACGTATCGCCTTGTCTACGGCATCGTAGTCATCGAACTCGATAAAGGCAAAGCCTCGACGCTTGCCGGTAGTTTTGTCTGTGAGCAATTTCACGGACACCACATTGCCGAATTGCAGGAAATATTCGCGCAGGCAATCCTCATCGTGATTGTCCTTTAGACCGCCGACGAACAGCTTTTTAACCGATATGTTCGTTTCACGTGTCTCACGCTCCGGACGCGGCAGAGCGCGTTTTGCCTCCACAGTTCTAGAAGACACCGAAAAAAAACAGATAATAACTATGAGATTGAGCAAGTGCAAATATAACATTGGATACATACTTGCCGTCAATGATATGCGGTCGGTTCTCTTGCGCAGTATCTACCATGGCGGACTTTGTATAGGTTATAAACCCAAAGCCACGTGAACGCTTAGTGGCGGCATCTCGCATCACAACAACATCGACCACCTTGCCCCACTGGGAATAGAACACTTTGAGGCCCTCCTCTGTGGTGTAGGGCGCCAGGCCGCCAATAAACAGCTTGCGCAAGTGCTCCAATTCACAAATGTCCTGCAAGCCAAATTAAATACAAATATATTCGCATGTGTGCATGTGCATATGCATGTGTTTGTTTTGTCAGAAACAGCACAGGTTTGTTTTTTTTTTTTTATGTACCACAAGGTGCACGCAGTAGAATGAGTAGTGCAGATGCCGCAATTTTAATTGATACTTACATCTTCGTCTTTGATTTCGAATATCTCGGGCTCTTCGGCGGTATCCTCTAATTTGACTACTTGCGGTGTGTTTGCCATATTTGGCGCAAGTTTAATTAAATTTACAAAAAAAAAATGCAAAACTACAGCTCGTCAGACACGCACGCGAAGAAAATTTCAGGGATGTGCAATATACATCGTAGTACGTGACTATCGATAAGTTGCTGCCTTCGATATATTATTTTGACGCACTGACTTTTGGCAGCCCTGGTTTGTTATTGTTATTATTACGTTGTTTAGTCCAATTGTATAATATTTATCTAAATTAAGAGCTCAGTTGGATTACAAAAAAAAAAAAACCAGCAGTTGCTGCAACAACAAATGCAGTGAACTAAGGTAAGTGTCACAATGCGCGTTAGACCGCCAATTGAACTGTTGCCATGAATAGTTATAAGCAGCAGACAGTGATGCAAGTTTTGACTATTAAAAAGCTAAAAACGTTTTGCAATTAAACCTAGTTTATTTGACGCATTTTGATGTGTTAGATGAGCTTAAAACAAGAAGTCGCTTAAGGCTAACACGAATTAATAAGCGTTGGCGCAGGCACAAAACGGCTGCGTCGCTGCTGCTGGTCAGGATGCACTTGGTGTTGTTGTTGTTGGTGGTGCTCCACATAATTAACATCCGCACGACGCGCGTTATTTACGAGCGCTGCCCTGTCCTTCGGCAGCGGCGCCGGCAGCAGCGTCGGCGTCGCTGCATAGTAGCCGCTGCCTAGCATGGCCGCCGCCGCAGAGCTGGTCGCCGGCGCAGCCGTCGCGTAGCTCGTCTGGCCCATTATGGTGCTCATAAAACCATTGGCCACGACAAAGTTCCTGCAAATTGATAGTATCGTGCATTATATAAAAAATGTCGAACAGTAACCCAGACATTTGTCTAATTGGGCCGTAAATGTCGTAAAATTAATTTCGTGTTAATTTTATGGGAGTACATCAATTAAACTTGTGACATTTACGTGAATTGCTGGTGCTGCTCCAGCGTATGGCTTACCTGTAATGCTGATCGATTTGCGCCTTCTCGATGCGTTTATCCTTGGCGCGACGATTTTGAAACCAGATTTTGATTTGTGTCTCCGACAAGCGCAGCGTCTCGGCCAGCTCAAAGCGTCGACTTCTCGATATATACTCGTTCCGATGGAACTCCACCTCCAGGCGCAGTGTTTGCTCCGTGCTGAACGTGGTGCGCTGCCGTCTCTGGCGTCCCTCCTTGCGGCGACGTCGAGCCACTGCCAAATCGAGAGCACATCATCAAATTGTTGTATAAGCCACAACAACAATGGCCTAAGATTAGGCCACACGCACACACAATGGAGATGTTAGAGCGAACCAAATCCCACATTAATAAACCATCAAATTGCCCGCAACCCCGCAACCCCTCCTCCCCCCGCAACATGTCCTTGCGTGCGAACAAGTTAAACAAATAATTAACCATGCTGATGGCCCCGCCCCTTTTTCTACTGGTAAGCGATGTTTGTGATCGCGTTTGTGGCGCACATTAAAATGCATTTTACACGTGTTCCTAGACTATCCATCACGGACCGTGCCCCCCTCTCCCAGCGTCGTCCCCTGCGTCCCAGCAATTCATACTTTGGGCAATCTGAGCCGGGAAACTTTCAACAATACCAACAGCTGTCTCCCATCCTTCCATTGTTATTTTTGTTATGCTGCTAACAGGCATCATAACTATACACTTCCTGGAAGGGTATTATTAGTTTTTTCATACTGTTTGCCATTTTTAATATCGCATACAAATTTGCTTATAATTCTAACTTACTTTTTGTATAAGAAATAAATGGAGAATACATTTAATATATTAAAATAATAAAAACTATTTTAAAAGAAAGTTTGTTGAGAACATTGGAAAATTATGTGTTCATTTTCTGGACAGTTACAGCTTTGAAAACATTCATAAAGGTATATTAAAATATGAATATACAAAAACTGTTAAGCTAACAAATACGTTGATCCAAATAAAAGATCCTGTTGAGGTCAAAGGTTTCTTTAGAGCGACTTTCTAATATGCTATATTAACATTTTTAATTTTATTTTGCCCTACACTTTTTTTAATATCTATCGAAACGTACTTCAATTTAATAAAATACAACAAATATATTTGTATTTACTCTTTCGAAAATGAGGATCACAAAAAACATAATTAAATATATATAATTCATTTAATTGAATACAAAAAAAAAAAAAGATTTTAGTGTCTTGTAGACTTGGAAAATGAGAGCCGCAGCGTAAGACAATAATGAAAAAATATTAAAATGTATTCAAAATGATTAATTTTTATGGAATTTAAAAAATAATGTAGTATATATTTTTTTGGTAAATTTTTAAGCGAACAGACTACTGGCAATTGTTTACTCAATTCGTTTGTAAGGGTATGCGCACTTCGTTGTAGCGCAATCCTAATGAATATTTGTTTGCATTGCGCTGTGACGTAGACGTCATCCGAGCGAACAATATGCAGCCACGCCCACTTACACGATGCGTACTCAACTCCCATTGTCTGTTCGCGTACGCTGATTACCGCTTAATTGTTCCAGTCCGTCTCTCCACTCTACACTCTCTCTCTCTCTATCTGCTGCCTTGCCTCTTGCGAAGCTGTAAAGTTTCCGTTGGTGCGCGACTTTTTGTATGAGTGTGTTAGAGCGGTGCGGGGGGAGGGGTTGCTAATCTCTAGTTCTCGCCTGATTACCCGCCGCCTGACTAACTTAAGCTCTGCTTTCGGCTTATATGCACATATATACATATATATGTATATATTTTTTTAAATCACGTGTGAAATTCGATACGACAAGTGTCCTTTGAGCTGGCGCAAGTGTTTGTCAATGTTTGTGTGTGTGTGTGTGTGTGTGTTTTTTAGGTTTCCTGTTAAGCTCAATTACAATGTTAATTTTTTAGCAATGCGTTTTTTTCTGCTACTCTTCTTCTTCTTCTTCTCCATCTTTTTTTTAGCTAACTCTCAAAGTGGCATATTTATTGGGGTGCCAAATAATCGCGATGTGGCCTGTAATATCATCTCTCCCTTATCAATCTTCGTCTGGCATTGTCCATTCTTAATTTCCGCACCCCTCTCCCGCGCGACCTTTAAGCGAGATTACCGCAAGTAAATGAAAATTTTTACGGCTGAATGCGTTTTAATATTTTGTTAATTTCTTGGTTTTTTTTTTGCTTTCTTCTTCTTGAAGCCCTTGCTCTCTCTCGGCTTTTCGGTTTGTTTTTGCATACTTCGTTTTTTCTTCAAGGATTTGCCGACAAGTGAAAGGATATTTAATAGCCTGGCACAGCTTTTTTACACAGTTCCTGCGGAACTAATTTTTTTTTGTTCATTCTTGCCTTAAACTCTTGCACCTGCATGCGCCAGCGTGTGAAAGCTTGCATGCATTTAACATTTTGCCATTTCTGTTATGTTATATGTTATGTTATGTAATATGTTACAGATCCAATCAGAATGCGTGCTCCTCTGTGCTTCGGCTGCCAGCGTTGCCTGCTTGGCCGGGCGACAATCCAATTAGCCGCAGCCTTTCAGGCCAGACATCTGGCGAACAAAGACGCCTCGGATATTGTGGTAAGCCTTGCCTCGCCCATTTGAAAGTTTTAGCTCGTCTAATTCCTAACAAACCGACAGTTACCCCCGGAACCCACCACCTGCTGCATGTCCGGTTGCCCCAATTGCGTCTGGGTGGAGTACGCGCAGACTGTGGCCAAGCTGTTGGGCGACAACGATGAGCGTGCCCGTGAGATTGTTCTGGCCAAGATCAAAGATCCCAATTTGCGTATGTTTTTGAGCATGGAGCTGCGCAACTTGAAACAGCTGCGAGACAGCGCAGAGGAGGCAAAAAAGAAACCCAAATAATCCAAAATGTAGCACCAAAATTGTATACAAATACATTAGCAAAATTCGATTATGCCTTAACTTATCTAATTTTAACTGACCTCAAAGGAACTACATCTATATAAACCACAATCAACCGGACATATTAAGGGCACAAGCTGAAATCCGATTCTCGCTGACGTCTTCGATGCCATGGCTTGAGCTTGCAAGACAAGCTTAATGACATGTCAGCGAAGGTGTCTTGTCTATTGATATACTTGATGACGTATTATCGTACATATAAATACACGCTACAATAGATGCTCTTAGTGGAAAATCGGCTGTATATAGAAACATTCCCGGTTCAATTAGAGCAATTAATTTCCCAAATTAAACGAAAGCTTGAGTTAACACCGTGTCTTGAGCCTAAGTTTTGGTTCAAGCCTTGGTTTTTCAAGGGTTCTTTATATAAATAAAGCAGAAAGAACTTCTAAATGGACGTTCTACTAAAAATAGCCCAAATTTCAAATACCAAATATGATTAGATAATGGAATTGTTGAACTTGGGTCTGTCTCTTCCTTAATAAAACTTTGGCTCTGGGTCTCTCTTAAAAGTATTTTTATATTTAAACTAATTCGGTTTCGATTTTGTCTGTTTTTTAGGGCAAAGGATTTGGTTTAGAGTTCGGTTCAGTTTAATGTACCAAGTTCTTTAAGCTAACACCGATTTTTTGCCTCCTTTTTAGATCCGCAGAAATCTTTTTAATATCTTTGATTTCTTGTGGAATGTATTTTCAAGATGAGCGAATCGTATCCAGAAAGGTTTTATGTGCCGAAAACTGATCTGTTGCATGAAAATCTGTGTTCTACCCTTGTATTATATATGTAGCTAGCATAGGAACGATCGGACCCAAACTTGGCATTTGTAAGTTTTCTAATATCCCATACAATATCATATAGTTGCCATGTGAGAAATCGGTCGAAAACTTGTTTCTGATATGGAAACCTTTTTTTAAACTAGGGTAAATTGATTAAACTGGGGATTTACTTTATGATCCCCATAGTATATATGGAAAATCTTATGAACATCGGACAAGTATATCATATAGCTGCTATAGGAAAGATCGGTGGAAAAGTAGCTTCCTATATGGCAACGATCTATCAATCTAGATTTTTACTATACAAAATCTGCTCATAGTTCCCATAGATGGTATCGTAGGAACACGGACAAGTATTCTAACCAAGCTCTTTGAATTTAATTTTTCAAAAATAATTATTGTTCATATTTTACAGACAGCGTGGAAAGCCTATATATACTACATAGATCTATGGCCAGATCTATTCTTCCGTTCTAAAAATCTTATAAGAAACTCTTCATTTAATCTTCTCCGATCTTTAAAGCAACTTAAATAGTTGGATATGTCTTAAATAAAAATTTGATAAAAAATAACTATTTGTAAAATGATTTGATTTTTTTTTTTTGGTGTTAATCTCACTCGCATACTCACAAAATGCTGAAAATCCGGCGTTAATATGCGGATCACCCGAAAAAGCCGGAAATGTTAGACCCGGCGGTAAAGTTGCGTTCGCAATGGCGCCGTACGCATTGTAATCCGGCGGAGGCGCATGCAATTCATATGACGGAAAACTGACTAACGCGACGCGCTCATCACTCATCGAAATATCCGGCGAGGATGCGCTGCCTCCGTCACTCTGGTAGGACGGCTCGGCGTGTGTGCCCACGTCAATGTCGCCGCTCTCACTGTTGTGCGTCCGCGTCTCGAGATGCCCGTAAAGACGCTCGAAGAATTGGCGCGGAGATGACGGACGCTGCGGCGTGCCAAGCACCGTGTGCGTGGGTGCCGGCGTCGCTGTCGGCGTGCAATTCGAAGATTTGATAACCTGCTCCGCATGGAGCGGCGATGATGGGTTTTGCTGCAGCATTTCAGGCGCCCGGATCGACCAACGGCTAAACTTGACACTTGGCTAATCGACGAGTGACTGAAACTGGCGTTACTTCCGACTACGAGACTGACCCGTCGTTTGTCTTGGTCAAGCGGTCACAAATTATGTGCCGCATTAAAATCGACAAGAAGGTGCTTAAAATTGTGGTTAAAAAAAATATATTGGCGCCACACCTGAGGCAAGCACGGCATGGCGCTGATTGGTTGCAGCTGCAGTGCAACCCTTGGCCAACTTCCGCTTTAGAGTATCCTTCAAGGGTAGCAAAAAGGATAAGCACCGCCCACTTCGTACGAGTGAGCTATAGCTGGTAGCTTGTTGCCAGCAGCACAGCGCGCTTGAAAGCTAACTGATACGTAACTGCATATTTGACTTTCGCTTATCGAGTTATCATTTTTATGTTCTCAACTTATCGTTTTATTTACCTATATAGAGGTATATTTGTATATTTTGAAATTAGACAAAAATAAAACCCAATTTAATAAACGTTTTAAAATTGGTAGAAATTGTTGAGGCCAGCATTTGATAGTACATCGCATAAAATATATCGATATATCGAGCTAGGTTCATATATCGTATATTGTAATATCTAAGCTATCGATACAATATTTTAGCATAGCCATTTACTGACATCGCTACAAGACATTTTGGCTGCTCAATAAAATAAGTTTTTAATTTCCCGAATTTAGCGACTTAAACATGTCGTATCAATTATATCGCAACACTACGCTTGGCAATACGCTACAGGAGAGCCTGGACGAACTAATTCAGGTAAGCTCCGTGCCCCAAACAAACGAATTACCAACAGGCCGTAGCAGCAGCTGCGTCGCAGACCCAGGCGAAGTCTTGTCAAATTTTTTTGCATTTTCACATCGGCAAGTGCATCGATCAACAATTATTAAATTGGCTTAGCAGTTAACTAGCTTGCATTTGCTGTGCCCCCTTTTGTTACTTTATTTACTATTTTCACATTAGATTAACTTGAATCATATTTGCAGTATGGACAAATAACGCCTGCATTGGCCTTTAAGGTGCTGCTGCAGTTTGACAAGAGCATTAACAACGCCCTTAACCAGAGGGTTAAAGCTCGCGTTACATTCAAAGCGGGCAAACTGAACACCTATCGCTTCTGCGACAATGTCTGGACCCTGATGCTCAACGATGTCGAGTTCCGGGAGGTGCACGAATTTGTTAAGGTCGACAAGGTTAAGATTGTGGCCTGCGACGGCAAAAGCGGCGATTTCAATTAACAACTAAGCGAAAACAAGCACACAAATTGCCACGCGTTCTACTTTTTAAGTTTCTAATTAATAAGGTTGAGTTGGTGGATTTTGTCTCTACTGCGGAAATTGGGGGAAGTAAACTGTTAACACCTAAAACGCATTAAGTTGTTTTATTACGCTTTCTCTTCCTCACTTTGATATAATGCAAAGCTAAGTTTGAGTAGATCGCCTAATCTTAATCCACGTTGTAAATGTTTCCTACATATCCTACGTATACAGATTTTGTATACTCTACGGAAATTATATGGTGTATATATAGGCATATTTGCCGAATTTAAATTCAAATGATATGCCTTATGTTCGTAATCGATGATTGAGAGGATTGGACTTATCGATATTTAACATAAGTATTATGGCTAGTTAAAGTACCATTTGAGCAATGCGACAACAGTCGACATCGATAAATTTTTTAGATTCCTTAAGCTTATATTTGATGATTTTTTAATTATAATAAAATGGAAAATATTGAAATTTAAGCTCGATGACAAGCGCAGTATTTAAAAAAGATTTAAATACGCTTTATAAACTGTTGATAGCAGTATCGATAACATAAGTATCGGACAGACCAATTATCTAGCATGTTCTCACAAATCGATATATCGACATAAAGCCAACATCCCTCGTTTCGGTGTACAAAACGCAACAACAGCGCGTCGCGTTCGCACGGAGACCGCTTTGATAACAAACAAATTTCAGATATTTTGAAACGGGCTAAGTTATTTTAATTGAACGTTGGAATTGCAATTCTTAATTGATGTTATTCATTTTGAATTTGTGCATACTAGGCAAACCATCAGTTAGGCGCGAATGCATGTCAACAGCAAGCTCGCGAAATGCAGCAAAAGTTTAACTGCGACAAGTGAATCAAAGTGTAAAAACCTTAGAAAATACGTAGCTGGTTTGCAATACAAGTTGCTTAATAAATTGTTTTTCAAAGAGGTAAAAATACACTGTGTGCTCATAAAATCATATCCACCAGTTTGCTAGAGCTGTACGTACATATGTATGTGTGTATGTTTGTGTATGCATGTGTGCGTGTGTGTAGGTGTTGTATATCGAATTATTAGTTTTTGTTGTTGTTGTTGTTGTTGGGCTGACTGAGCGCAAAGAAAACGAAAAGCCAAACGCGTAAAATACAAAAGTGCATTCATCTGCAACAACTGCGCGTGTTGATTTTGTGTTTGATTTTGTCCAAAGCAGTTGCAAATAACGGTGAATCAATAATTGTTGTTGTGGCTTCTGCTGCAAAGCCCTTGAAGTGTTGCGGAGAAAAATACAAACAAACAAACAAACATACGTAAAGTGCCAAAAACGGAAACCAAAGCGCAAAACGCAAACGTTGTTTTTATTGTTATTGCCACAAACTGCATGATTAAGCCATATAAAACGTGCAGAATAAACAGTCGCACATACATAATATAATAATATCGATGTATGTATGTATGTGCACTGAGTAGAATTTAGTTCTATACAATTTTTCATTTTTGTTTACAATGCGTTTTGTTTTGTTATAAATTTTATGGCATTCGCTTGTTTTCGTTTGCGCTTTGCTTTTGCGTTGCCGTTAAGTCTTATACGAGTCCAATTGGACTCCCGCTGTGTGGCTGTTCCTGCGAAAGCAAAGCAAATATAAAAATATTTCTGGCTAAATTCCTTCGCGTTAAATAAATAATAAATCCGAATGAATAAGCGTAAATAATTGTAATCAATTTTATTAAAATCTAAAAAGGTTTAAGCAGACATCGCCAAAATTGATTTCCGTCGCATCAAAATCTTCACCTCAAAACTGGATTATAATAAATCCGTTGATATTGGAACGCAGCAGGAAAACAACTCTGGGGTAACCAACAAAATGGTCAAACGGTAAGTACAGACATACATACATATGTATGTACATATGATAACATACATACATACATATATACAAGTACAAAGTGAATGCATTTGCTTATCAAGCACACGCTGCAGTTCATTAACCCATTTGCAATTGGCTAAGAAATTAGCGCCCGCCCCTCGTAGACACATGCTTATTTTTAGATTTTTTTTTTTTTGATTCATTGACCGGGGTCTATTGAACTAACGGCTGGCGCTGATAAAGACGAATTATAACGCAATTTATTATTGTTAATTGCTTAGCAAGAGTTAGGTGGGGGGTAGGGGTAGGGATAGGGGGGGGGCTTGTTGTAGGGTTGCTTTAAACTACGTCGCAGTCTGCATTCATATTGTTAGCATGACTTTCCGTTGTTTCATTTTGCTTTATGTGAGCACAGTTAATGCTCCAACAACAACCCCCAATGCTGACAACAACAAAAACACACCCCCTCGAGTGCAGCCACCACCAACAGAACACATCCAGCAGTGTTGACAAGCGGCGTCGCATAAATTTTTGTCTGCGTTTTCCAAAAAATCCAAATGTAAAAGCACAGCAACAATAACAGCAACAACGATGAATAGCCCAACGCGGCATCAGCCAAACGCATGCGCCCTGACGTCACAATAACAACAATAACAACAACAACAGCAACAACCACACCAGCTTCATTTCTGTTTTGTCTGCATTTTGATTTTCTATACGGTTTTATGTTTTCTCATCTGTTGGGCACTCCAAAATAGCAGAACACACTGGCAACACTGACTGCTCTCTGCCTCTACCTCTTTCTTTGCCTGCATAAATAACTGCATACGTTGCACGCTCTCTCTCTCTTTCGTTCTCGCTCGCTTCTTTGCGTTCTATCTCTGTGAATTTCTTCTTTTTATTTTTCAACATTGGCGGCGCTTTGCCTTTGCCTCTGACAATATTTACCATCACTTTGTCGCGTTATTGTTGTTGTTGTTGTGGTCCTACAGTTTTAGCAGGTTCTTGCAGTTGCTTTTTTACAGTTGCTTTTTCGGTCGTCGCGCCCCCACACACACGGGCAGCATCAATAACAACAGCAATGTTTCTGTGCCTGTATTTGTCGCTTTGTTGTTTTACCTGCTTTGGTTCGCCTTTTGTTTTGACTAGTTTCTTAGTAGTTTTGTTTCCTGCCTGCCCTGTTGCTCATTTATCGATATTTATCATTTATTTAGTCTTATCGTTCACGCTGTCCCGCTCTTGCTTAGACTTCCTGTTGCTGCTGTTACTGTTGCTGTTGCATGTTTACCTGATGCCGACCTGTTCGCCTGGTTGTTGTTGTTGTTGTTGTTCTTGTTACTGTTGCTGTGCTGTGCTTGTTCTTGCTTGCCGATCGCCTCCCTTTGCTTTACAAATCTTCAGCCTAGCGCATGTGTGCACATGTATGCAGGTTTTTGTGTGTATGTGCCTGCTTTGTTGCTGCCTCTGCAGATCTTGCTGCCTGCCGCCTGCCAGCGCTGTTTTGTATTTTGTGTTTATTAAATTTTCTTTATACACATGTATATGTGTATGTATGCATGTCTGTATGTATGCGCATGGCGTGCATGCAGTTGCCGTACGGCAGGCAGGCAGCGTTGCCTGCTTGAAAATTTATTTGTCTGCACGCTATTATCCATTATGTATGTACATATGTACAGACATATGCATGGATTTATGCATGTACATATGTTTGTTTGTATTGTACGCTGTGCTGGGGAGTGTCTGTGTAGTCAATGGATAGGCTTGCCTGCCCCCTCAATCTCTCTCTCTCTCTCTCTCTCTCTCACACTCTCTGCTGCTGTTGCTGCTTCTGCTGTTACTGTTTGTTCTTTTTGGCGATTAAAATTAAATTTTAATGCCGCAGTTGCTGTCTGACGGCTGTTTTTGCTGCTGCCGATGTTGTTGCTTTGTCTGCGCCTCTCTTTGTTTCATGACTTCCTTGTTTCATGTTAGCCAGTTCCCCCCACTGCCCCCCGCTTTTGTTTCTGTTAACCTTCAGCTGCAGCCATGCTGTAAGCCTGTTGCGCTTAGCAACATTCTCTTAATTTATTAAGTGCAAATTTATTTATGAAATAACACTCACACGCACAAACTACAAACGCACACATACGCATAATTAACCGTTATTATTCATGCTCATGATTCATTTAGTCGTTTGTGTCTGTTTGCGGCCCAAGCGTGGCTTTTGTCCAAGCGTGGGAGAGACAATAAACGCACACATACATACATACATACATGTGAAAATAAATGCACACGTATGTGTATACGTGCATGTAACCACATTTTCACACTCTATTCTCTAAACACACATACTATGAGTCAAAATGATTCTTTCTTCACTGTGTAGGTGGTAAAATACATATTACAGTAAAATTTCTGAGAACAGTAAAGAATTTTCCAGAAACAAGTATTATGAATTTGACTTTAAAGTCAGTAAATTTCAATATTTATAATTTGGAGCTAGGAATTTTTGGATGTCATATTTAAGGCCTGAAAATTTAACATAGATCGGACATAGCCTAAAAGTTATTTAAGCGTCTGTTAGTTTGGGGCTTGATGCACATTACAGGGCATCTGCTAGTCGAGGCACACGCCGACGCTAAGCTGTTAACAGTTATCTCGAGAAAAACTGACAGACAGCACTGCGTCAGCAAATTAGGCTTTTAACTTTTTGCGTGGCAGACATTGCTGGCTTCCACAGCTGATAAGGCACAGCAGCAGCAGCAGCAGCAGCAGAGGTGAGAATTAGCAGGAAAATGTAAATGCAACAACTAAACTTAATCATTGAAGTTAAAAAAAAAACACGTGACCTGATTTTAAGGCTGCATGCACGCGGTCCCTAATTACGACCAGGGCATGCACACGTGAGTGTGTATGTGTGCGTGTGCGTGTGTGTGCTTGACTGTGATAAGAAATGTGAAAGCAACTCAGCTGTTGACGCGTTGAAGCAAAGCTAACCGAAACGACAAATAAACAATATTTGAATAAATGAATCAACAGACGCTTCGTCTCAGTCAAGCCACGCCCCCCCCCCCCTGCACCGCCCCCAAAGCCGCTGCGGTTAAAGTTCATTGCCAAAATGTTCGAGAGGGCAGCTCTAATGTTTGCCGCTGACCGAGCTCGGGTTCAAAGTTCACGCAGTCCATCTCTTATCAGAGCACATCTCAGCCAAAGATTGTTGCTGCTGCTTCTTCTGCTGCTTCTTCTTCTTCTGCTGGGCGCCAATCGGCTTATGCGTGCCGTGCATTGCCATTTGAACTCCCAACTGGCAGCTCGGCTCAGAGTTTGAGTTTGAGATAAGCCCAAAGGTTTTTCACAGTTGCTGCGGGCGAGCTTTTTGACCCACATAGGGCAGGAGCTGCCTTTTGTCTTCTTCTTCTTCTTCTTCTTCTTCTTTTGCTCGTCAAGTGAAAGTTTTGTTCAGCTTTTCTTTGTTGTTGTTGTTGTTAGCTGGCATTTTAAGCCACTTACAACAATTTACGACAAATTTGCATTGAGCTGGTAATTTGTGTGCGAGAAATGAAAGTGAAAATGGAAATGAAAAATTATTTTAATAGCCGATTTTGGCTTGTTAAATTCAAATTTTTGATATTTGGCCAAATTGCCACAAACCGATATTGGAGAGCATAGAATGTATATATGTGTGTGTGTGTGTGTGTGTGTGTAAGTATGGCAAACTTAAACTAACTCGAATAAAGGTAATATAAGTATTAGAATTCATGAAGATTTTCATAGAATCAGCCTTAAAATCAAGCATATATGCACCAAAAATAGTTAATAAATTGACAATAAACATTTTCTTATCATATTTCTTATCAATATAATCAAGTAAAATATTTATTTAAAAAAAAGTATTTCTATTTATTGTTATTCTTGAGTGGATCAAGGAACTTATATATACGCTAAGCGTGATCCAATTCCTGATTCTTGAGAAAACGCCAGCAATAAGAATCGACAGTTGCATTAGCAATGCATTAGCAATGCATTAGAGGCCTTTGACTATAATTCACACTATTCAAACATTGTTGTTTTATGCTTTTAAACATTTATTAAGATTTAATTCTTAAAAGCAGTCAACAACAACTAGTTTACAGCTTTGAATCCCAAGTCAAGTGAAAGGATTCTTTTAGCACAAGGCCATAGAAGCTAGCGTTATTTAGAAAGAATTATGTTGAAAGCTTGCAACTGCATTCAATACTTAAAGGACATTCCGTTCTAAGCGTTGCAACTTTGCAAAAGCAATGCAAGAATATATTTTAGAGCAAAACTTACAGCAACAACTATTTTATGGATAGATGATCTTTCACAATTCTTGAAAAGGTCCAATTTTACGATTAGTTTCGTTGGCACTTATTTCCAAGAGTTTATCTCTAATGCCAACTTTTTCCTTATTATAGAAATCAAAGCAATCCAATTGTAAACAAAAACAAGTAAGAGGTTCTAGTCGGAAACTCCCGACTAGGGGATACCCTGAACCCTCTTCTTCCAATATCAAATGCATATATATATTCTATTTTAGAAGCTATATGTCAAGTTTGGTGACTCTAGCTCTTATTATTTACCAAAATTTCCAACAAAAAAACAGGATATCGATATCGATTTTTATCGATTGCTTGGAAACGGAACAAGTTATCGATTATGGGAAACAAACTCGATCTGCGCGGGAACTAGGAGCACCTACATCTAAAATTTCAGTCTCTAGCTCTTATAGGTTCTGAGATCCTTGCGTTCATACATACGGACGGACAGACGGACATGGCTAGATCGACTCAAGATCAAGAATATACTTGATGGGGTCGGAGATGCTTTCTTCTGCCTGTTACATACATTTGGATTTTGCACAAATACAATATACCCTTATACCCATTTTTGATGGGTTCAGGGTATAAACAGCTGATTGTGCAGTTCTGCAATGCTTTGGCCTGTGCACTCCGTTGATCTGGCAAATCTGCAAAGCCAAGTGCAATTGTGTTTTGATAGAAATGCAAAA